TACACACATATGTATATAAATCTATAAATATACACATATACATATATATATGAATATATGCATATATGTATGTACAATACAAGCTGGTATAGAAGCATTGCTTATTATATTTAGGAAGTCACAATGATTTCTTTTGAGGAATTCACACATTTGGTTTATTAAGCTAACTCTAGAGGAGTCAAGGCATGAAAATGTTGCAGTCAGTTGGGACAAAGGGGCTGATTTTATAAAGCTAAGGTCAAAAGATCCAAGACATGGGAAAATTCATAAGTATGAGGAAGTAATAAAACACAGACATGACCCCAAGAATTACAAATATATTTAACTCTCGGACCGGGGAAGTGGACTACGCACAGCCTTCTAGGGGACGAGGGAAACACCCCAGATGTTCTGATGCCGCTGCACATTTGGCTTGTTTTCAGTGATTAGTGAAATAAGAATAGGAGCCACATTGTTGCTTGGAGACATGTCATTTTCATGTCTGTATTTGTATTAGAATTGCCTGAAAAGAAGTTTCAACATTGGTAGTGTCTAGAACAGATGCCTCAATGAATGATAAATGATTCTCTGCAAAAACTCTTGCCTCATCTGTAGTAATGGCACTGAGATGACGTAAGTCACACTTATTACCCACAAGCACGATATAACACAGTCACAGTCAGTGCGGTCTCTCGCTTCTTTCTGTTGTTGCTCTACATTTTCATATGTGAGATGCTTAGCAATGTCATAAGCCCATAAGGCACCTACAAGGCCATGATGATACACTGATGGTCCAGCTCTGTCTCTCCCGCCTTGCAGAGTCCCATATCTGTGCCTTTATTGCTTTCCCACTGACCTGGTTGCTTCTCATTGCAAGCTCTATTGCAACGGTGCTCTTGCTCTTCACATTAAGCTCATTCCGAGTAAATTGAGACAGGAGGTTACTCTTTCCAACACCAGAATCTCCAAATGAGAACAACTTTGAAGAGGGAGTCAACATCACAGGTGCCTATGGCTGAGGATCGGAGGGGCTGGGGCAGCAAAGGCATTGGTGGGACCAGGGATAACCTGAGCCTTTTTTTTTTTTTTCTTGAATCAAGGTTTAATGTAGGCCAGACTGGCTCTGAATTTACTATGTAGCAAAGGATAACCTTGAATTCTTGATCTTCCCACTTCCTATTCTGAGTTCTGGGATCACAGGTGTTAACCACCACACTGGCTTATGCAGCACTGGGGACTGAACCCAGGGCTTCCTGCATGCTAGGTAAGCACTGTATCAACTGAGTCATGTCATCAGTGCTGCAATGTTTTAATTATGTTCTCCACTGGTTAGGAAGACTTACTGGGGGCCGATTCAGCGCGTTGATTGCCGCTGTCAACACTCCCGCCAGGCCACAAGTCATCTGTTTTGTCACATGCTGGAGGTAAGTATGAGTGGTCGCAATGGCAATGCTTCTTGTTATTGCAAACCTGAAAGTGGGAGGACATCACCTTATGAGAGAAACTGCTAAATGCACATATGCTCAAGAAAATTCATAAAATAATACCTAGGTAAGATAAAGTTGATTTTTTCCTATGTGGAAAAATCCACATTATAATTGGGAGAGATGGAAGGAAGGAGGGTGGAAGGAAAGGAGGAGGGGGAGAAAGATAGGGAGGGGGAGGGATGGGAGAGGGGGAGGGATGGGAGAAGGGGAGGGATGGGAGAGGCACTTGTTCCCCGAGCAGGGTCAATGGCCTCTTGTTCTCATTCATGACTCTGTAACTTACACCATGATTGTTGCAGGTTTCTGGTGTGCAGTCATAATTCAAGAATGTATCTTGTACACATTCTTTATTCAAGCAAACCTGGAATGGATAAGGTAAGTGATATGCCATCCAGACTGGCCATTGAATTAAAAGCATTTCACACTCTGCTAAAATAAACATCATATGGGTGGGGGGAGCAGATGGGGAGGGAGGCCTAAATATGATTAAGATGTATTGTATAAAATACACCAAAATTTAATAAAAATATACATTGAAAAATAAAGCACCATAGCAAAACACCACCTCATCCCAGTTAGAATGGCTATTATATTAACAAAAAGCAAAACAAAACCCCACAAAAATACTTATGAGGGTGTGGCAGAGGGGGAACACTTTTCTCCTACTGGTATGAATGCAAATTAGTAAAGCTCTTATGCAAAATAGCACAGAAGTTCCTAAAAATAAACAAAAAATAAAAAAATCTGGCGTTATCCTAAGATGCAACATTCCCACCTACCGGATATATAGCCAAAGAAAATAAGATCAGCCTGTTGAAGAGACACCTGCACCTCCCTGTCCTGTTTATTGCAGTTTATTAATAATGTCCAAGAGATATCACCAATTTGAATGCCACCAATGGATGACTGGATAAAATGTGATAGATATGCTGTATGAGAAAATGTTGTATACATATGTACATATACATACATCTACACATACATATGGAATGCTATTTGGCTACAAAAAGAATGAAACTGTGTGGTCTAGGGTAACATGGAAAAGCTTGGAGGGCATTATGCTGTGTACTCATTATGCATATGTAAATAGAATTAAAGAGTAAGACTGTAGTTATTCGGGACTGGATACAGGATGAGAGGGTGAAGGGAGGTATAATATTACAGTTAAAAAGAAGGAGTAAGTTTTAGAACTCTGTTGCAGAGTTGAGTCAAGTACTAGTGCTAACAAGAATGTATTATGTATTTTGAAAAGAGTGGGCTTTGAATATTATTAAATGCCATGATGAAAAAAATGATAACATTTTAAAGTGATGGATATGCTGATTACTCTGATTTGATCATTATACAAGTATTACATGTTTCAAAACACTACATTGTACTTATAAATATACACAATTCTTTTGAGAACAAAATAAAATGATAAATAAAAGCTTTCTCAAGCCTGAGCCAGTCTACAAACACTGGGAGAGTTTACAGATGCCTAATTTTCAACAACAAAAATAAAAATCACAAGGAACAAAAAGAAAACAGAAAAATACCATTCTTCTAATGGAAGAAAGGAAAGTGTCAGAAATTTATTTGAAAATGGCTGTACTTCGAGCTGGAGAGATGGCTCAGCTGTTAGGAACACCTGATGCTCTTGCAGTGGACCTGAGTTGAGTTCCCAGCACCTACATGGCAGCTCGCAAATGTCTGTAACTCTAGTTCCAAGGGATCTGATGCCCTCTTTTGGCTTCTGTGGGCACTGCACACACATGGTACACATACATACATGTACTCATACACATACATACATGTACTCATACACATAAAAATTTAAAAACCAAATGAAAATGGCCGTACTTAATGTTCTTGAAAGACCTAAGAGGGGAATATGGGTGAAGAACTATAAGGAGCAAGATGGTGATGTAAGGAAAAAAACAACCAAGAATGTTAACAGAGATCAAATTGTAAAAGGGAACCAAAAAATTCTGGAGGAGCCAATGCCTTCTTCTGACCTTCACAGGCATTGCAAGACACAGGTGCACTTACATGCATGCAGGCAACACACTCATACACGTAAAATAAAGAAATAATGGAGTAAGCATCCCATAGTTAAAGAAGGATAGGGATCAATAAATCCTAGAATCTCAATAAATACCAAATAGGATAAACATAAACACACACTGAGACATGTTATAACCAGCTTATCAAAAGATAAGAAGAGTCTTGAGTGCAGTAAATGAAAAAAAAAAAAAAGAATCACCAGGAGGCTGTAGAGATGGCTCGGTGGTTAGGAGTACTGGCTGCTCTTGTAGATGACCCAGGTTTGAATCCCAGCACCGACACGGCGGCTTTGCCTCTGAACTACCCCTCAGTCCTAACGATATAATTTTTGGTATCAGAAACAAGAGCAAGGCTACGAAGAAGCAGAACTTTTGCATGTGATGGGCAGTACTTTGATACCAACTCAAAAGAGACCTTTATTGTTATAATTTTACACTCATTAAATCACAAAGTAAATATCTCCAGAAAATCTACAACAGTATGAGAAGGGAAACTAAATGTACTATTACAAAAATATGAATTCAATACAAAAGAAAGAGTGGTAGAAGCAGCCAGACAAAAAGCAAGGAGGTAGGGCTGGAGATCCGGCTCAGCGGTTAAGAGCGCTGGTTGTTCTTGCAGAGGACCCAGGCTCGAATCCCAGCACCCGCATGGCAGCTAACAACTGTTCATAACTCCAGTTCCAGGGATCAGACAGCCTCTTCTGTCCTCTGCAGGCATTGTGCGACACAGGTGCACTTACCTACATGCAGGCAATACACGCATACACGTAAAGTAAAAATAATAAATAAAATATTTTAAAAAGCAAGGAGATAAAACCAATAATGTGTCAAAACAATTTCTCTGCCAGTGCCTACATTGATGCTAATGTGTTAAATCCTCCAACCTAAAGTCATGGACTGATAGAATGGATCAAAATACATGACCTAGCCTTCTCCTGTTTCCAAGAGACATTGTATCTAAGTCACCAACAGGATGAAAAATAAGAGATTCCATCAAATAATATCTGGAGGGAAATTGACCTGTGATGGCTAATCTTGGTTGTCAACATGATCACACTGAGGTGCTCATAGGAGACTGGTAAAATGCACCCCTGGGTGGGTCTTCCAGGGCTTTTCCAGAGAGGATTAACTGTGGGGGAGGACCCACCCTGAATGTGGATAACAAAATCCCATAGGCTGAGCACAAACAATCAAAAAGAGAAAAGGAGAAAGCCAGCTGGAAATGACACTCTCTTGCTCTGCTCCCTGGTCCATGAGGTGAACAGCCTCTCACCTCCATAATGCACTTCCTAACGACAGGCCCACAAACACAGCCAAGTGACTACGGGCTGAACCCTGTGAAGTCATGAGCCAAAATAAGCTCTTCTTTCCTTACACTGCTTTCTTAGGTATTTGGTCTGAGTAACATAAAGGTAACTAACCAAAACCTGAAATCAACCACTATTACAAGAGTTAAGGAAGAACATTCTAATTGATAAGGATCAATTCCCCCAAGAAAACAGTGAATTGGCTAACAAAATTGGTATAAAAATGTAAGGGAATATTATTCTTTTTTAAGAAGGAGTGAAATTCTGGTATTTGCTACTACAGGGATGGATGTGTAAAGGCGTATACCAAGTGAGACAGCCCAGGTTCTGAAGGATGGATCTTGTATCGAAGGACTAGAATATTTAAACTCATGGGGATAAGAACGGGTAAGAGTGATTAGTACAGTATGCAATGAGAGGTCATCCGAGAGCCCTTATCTAACGACTACAGACTCAGTCGGGGAAAGCAAAAAGCTTCTGGAAGTGCGTAGTGTGTAGACAACTGGAACACCCTCAGAATGTACTGTTCTTCAACTGTAAACCTAAAAACAATTAAAGTAATAACTTTTGTTCTGTGTGTACTTTACCACAAAAATAATCTATGAAGGGGCTGAGGAGATGGCTCAGTGGGTAAGAGCATTTGCCACACAAGCACGAGGATCTGAGTTCAAATCCATGACATCCATGTAAAAAGCCAGACATGGCCGCATCTACCCGTAACCCTAGTGACCCATGACCCTAGCGACCAGTAACCCTAGTACTGTGAGGGGCAGAGACAGGAAGGTCGTTGGGCCTCGCTGACTGCCAGTCGAGGTCCAGGTTCAGTGAGAGACGCTGTCTCAATGGAAAAAGGAAAAGGGGCTTGAGCAGCACACCCAATACCCTCCTCTGCCTTTCTCATGTACAAAGGAGTGTGCATTTGCACACATACTTGTGTATACACCACACACACAAGCACACACACATAAACAAATAAACAATACAAGGTAGTCTATATATCATATTCAATGCTTTGGAGACTAAAACAGTTGGTAAAGTTAACAAAGTCATATAAGAATAAATATGTTATTGCCCATACCATATTTAAAGGGAAGGATGGCTTTTAAAATAAGTCCTGTGGTATATGAGGAAAATGAACATCTCAGAATTGTTCCTGTCATTGGTAGGATGGATGGCAAAGTAGGGCATTTCTGCAATGCGTACAGTGAAGGTGTTAGCAGAGTAAGCCTAGCTTGCACAGAAAACACTGTGGGACGAAGCTATGGGGGAGACAGCACAGTAAGGGGAGGACAATGTTTTCAATAAACACTGTTCAGAAAACCGTATATCCATCTCGAAAATAACCACCTAGATCCTCTCATTATACCACACACACACACATAAACTGACTCAAAATAAATATCTAGATGTTAGATTAAAACCAGAGAAATTCTAGAAGAAAATACAGTATGAAAAGTCCTTGATATTAGCCTTGGCCATAAGCTTTTGGATATTATGCCAGAAGCAAAAATCAATTAGGACTGTTTCAAACTAGAAGCTTTTACACAGCAAAGAAACAATCAACGAGATGAAAAGGTGTCTCAGAGTGTGAGTGAATATATGTGATAAGAAATTCATAGTCAAAATATGTAATGAACTCGAATAAATCAGTAGCAAAAATGTATAGATAATAACCTGATTATAAGAACCCAATTAAAGATGGGCAAAGGGCAGGAGCGGACATTTCTCAAAGAAGACGTATAAATGTCTAACATGCATATGAAAAAGCCTTTGATATAATCACCAGGGAAATGCAAATCAAAACTTTGGTGGGATGTCATTGTTTTTGCAGGGATGTTAGTGTGAAAAAATGATGAGAGAGAATGCTAGTGAGGATGAGGAGAAAAGGGGACCTTCGGCCTGTTGGTGGGAGTGTAATGTGCTATAACAGCCCTGGAAAACTGTATGGAGAGCTTTCAAAACACTAAAAGGAGACTTCTCATTTTAAGAGGCAATCCATCTGCAGGGCAAATTCCCAAAGGAAACCAGAGCAGGGCTTGTGTTTAGTGCAGTGTTAGTCATAAACAACCCGAATGCCGATCAACAGGCTTCAAATGTTAACTAATCTTTTTTTGTTTGGATATATTTCCCTTGTATTTTATTCACAGATAATCCCTTTAATTTTTATCATATGTTTATAATATACAACATATTGTTTTCATATACAAACAGAATTTGAAATGGGGCTGGAGAGATGGCTCAGTAGTTAAGAGCATTGACTGCTCTTGCAGAGGACCTGGGTTCAGTTCCCAGCAACCACATAGTGGCTAACAATCATTTGTAATTCCAGTTCCACAGAATCCAATGCCCTCTTCTGGCCTCCATGGGTATTGCGCACACATCATGCACTTACCAACATGTAGGCAAAACACACACAGAAATAAAAATAAATTTTAAAACTTGTGTGTATATGTGCATGTGTGATAGGCCAGATGTTGATGTTGGGTCTCTACCTTAGTTTCTAAGACTCTCGCCAAATCCAGAGCTCACTGTTTTAGCTATAGTGGCTGCCCAGCAGCTCCAGTGATCCACCTGTCTCTGTCCTCATGTCCCAGTGCTAGAATTATGGATGTAGGCATCCACGGCTGTCTTTTTACATAGGTGCTGGGATTCAAACTCAGATCCTCATGCAGTTTACCAATGGAGTCATCTCCCTAGTCCCAAGATACATAACTTTAATAAAATACATTTTCAGTAAAAAGCTATTACTTGCAGAAATAATAAAGAGGTTCCCACCATGGACATAGTGCAAAGAGCATACAGTTTTGACCACCAATATGAATCACAGCTGGCTTGTTTGTGTCACAAAGCTGGTGTGTGGTTCAGATGCAGCCTGGCCAGTTCCAGAAATCTGATTCATTTCTATTTTGAGTTGTATGCATCTTCTTGGTTTTATTCTTTTGGATGAATGCACAATGGTTTATATTTTAGCAGTTAAATTAAAAAAAGATTTAATATCTTTAATTATGTGTGTATGTGTACAGCTGTGTGAGTTTATGTGCAATATGTGCATGCAGCTCCTGCAGAGGCCAGAAGAGGGCATCAGATCCTCTGGAACCTGAGCTACAGGTGGTTGTGAGCTGCCTGCTATGGGTTCTGGGAACTGAACTTAGGTGCTCTGCAAGCACGAAGTAAGCACTCAACCATGGAGCCATGTTTCCAGCCCCTACTTGAGCAATTTTAAATTGTCTTTTTTCTCTGCTCCTAGTTCATTGCTGACAATGACTTTCAGAGGCAAGTAGAAATGATTTTGTTCATATTTTAAAGATAGGCTCACATTCTTACACTTTTAAATTTCTAACTAAATTGTCATTTCTGTCTTCAGTGACAATGTCACATTGTTTATGAGTTCCCTGGTAGGGTCAGTTACCCAAGGAGGGGAGCCCAGATATATCTGTTACTTTGCTTATTGCTGTCACCAAATACCTGACCAGAAGCAGTTTAGGGAAGGAAGGAAGGGTTTATTCTAGCTTACAATGTGAAGACATAGCCTATCATGGTGGGCAGCTGGTTACATTACACCCACAGTCAGGAAGCTGAGAGAGGACAGGAAGTGGGGTCGGGCTATGAAACCTCAATGCTGGCACCTAGTAACCCACTTCCTCCAGGGAGGCGCCACCTCCTGAAGGTTCCACATCCTTCTAAAGTGGTGCCATCAACTGGATACCAAGTGCTCAAACACACACGCCAAGGGGGACATTTCACATCCGAACCACAGCAGTAGATGCTGAGGAAGTGGGGGGCTTTTCTGCTGACACACCCCTTTGTGATATCTTTTGTGGTTTGCTGGGTCTTGCTTTGCTATTTCCCATCCACTCAGACCTTCCTCTGAATATTTTAATGAATACCTGTGCTTAAATCTATGGACAAAGCATTTTCACTTCATGACTTATGGTTATAAAGTTTACTTGAATGTCCAGATCAAGACTTTTTTTGGGGGGGTGTTGTTTTTATTTATTTACATTTGTGAGATGGTCTACCTGTAGCAACAATTGACCTGGAACTCACTATGTAGACCAGGCTGGCCTGGGACTCAGAGATCCATCTGCCTCTTGCCTCCTAAGCACTGTGATTAAAGGCCTACACTATCGTGAACCTGGCTTAAAAAGATTTTTTTTTGTTTTTTTTTTTTTAGATTAGGGTCTCACTCTGTATCCCAATCAGGCTGATCTTGAACTCGAACTTGTTTTGATCCTCTTGCTTTGGTTTCCTGAATGCTGGTATTATAAGCATGAACCACCATGCCAGTATTTACTAATGTTTCATTCACACACACAAAAATCTTAGGCTCCCAAGTCAACTATATTTTGCCTTTACCTCTATTTAACAAATACCTTACTATATTCTATTAATTAATGGAATAAAGAATCTTTGTAATTTCAAGTTTAGGCAGGAGACTAATTCAAACTTGGGCTTTTTTGTGTACATATATATATCCATATATATGTATATAACTATTATATAATTCCCCAAATAGAAACAATATAGTAAGGTGAAAATGATGACCTTCATTTGTACCACACTGAGCAATAAAATAGCACGAACAGATGAGAAAATGGAACTTTTTATAAAGATACGTAGTTAAATACAGTTATAGGAAATTAATATATGTATGTATATATGTATTTGCGTAAATAATTTTTGGAGTGTTTTGGGGAATGAAAAGCAAAATTGCATGTCAGATACATGATGTTTCATTTCTGCTGCTGTAATAAAACACCCTAACCCAGGCAGCTCAGGGAAGGAAAGGTTTGGTTTATAGTTCCTGGTTACAGCCTGTCACTGAAGGGAAATCAAAGACGCAGCACTCAAGTAGCCAGTCACAGTACACGCACAGACAAGAGCGCTGAGAAATGGATGCACACAGACCCACTTGCCGTCACGTGTGCTCTCAGTGAACTTTCTCTTCTTTCAGACTGTTTGGGCTGCCCTGTCTAGGGAATGCGGCCGCAATAGGCTGGGTTTTCCTCTATCAATAATAACCAAGATAATCCCTCACAGACCAACCTGATAAAAATTGAGAGACTCTTCCTGGGTGATTCTAAGTTGTGACAAGTTGACATTGAAAATGAACCATTGCATGAAACTTGGAATGATTTTTGCTTTACTCTGTGAACACTTTACTATTTTCGCCATCATTTAAGAATGATTATAACAAAAGCTAATTCACAACGTCAGAAGTGCTCTCTGTGTGCATTATGAAAACAACAAAATGCATGGGTGAACTACAGGACCCTGTCCTGGTACTGTGCATGGCTTCCACAAGAAAAGCACAAAACGGTCAATGAAATACTCATAGTGCTATTTAAGCATGACTGCAGATTTTATTTTATCCTTTAAGTTTTTCTTATTTTTTAAATCTCTATGTTGATTGTATACTTCAGTTGTGAGTGAAAATAATTCAGGATGTACAACAAAATATTGGAAAGTTATGTGGGAAGAAAAGATTACCTACCTTCTTTGAATCGCAAACGGTTCCGTCTCTCACCCACATCTTGTGGCTCTCTCCATGATCATAGGCATATTCCAGAGAAACGCAGATATGTCCACTTATATTGGCATAAATAGTAGTGGCAGATTTTACTTTAATTAACTTGTCACTTTTGTATTTACATATTAATTTCCCACACTTCAGGTTTCTATAATTTAGAGATAAATGAAAGCCATTAATTTTAATAAATAGTTGAATATCATTTTCAAAACAGATTTAAATAAAATATTTGAGGTTGACAAAAAGACATATGCAATTAATTTTTAAACATAAAAAAACCCCATCAGACTCTTGCCTGACTTCTTAACCATAATGAACAATTTAATTACAAACTACTCATCTGGATTACTGTGTGATTCCTTCATTTGCATATGATCTTTAAATGCAATCAAACCCAAGCTTATTTTGCCTTTGGAAATGAGTCAAATCACCAGCCCAATTGAGTTTCCTTTTCAGCTTAACATCTGACAAGATATTGAAACAGACAGACAGACAGACAGACACACACACACACACACACACACACACAAGCATTGCTCACAGAGTGTATTATTATTAAAATCTTAAGGTACATCCCAAAGATAGTGCAGAAAACCACAGAAAAAGGCATAAATACAACCAGAAAATGAAGAAATATTAGCTACAGAATGCCAATTTAAAAAATAAAACAACTGGAAGTTGATGAACAGATAGAAAATAATATAAGCCAGAAAACTATGAAACAAGAGGGCTGCCATCTACCCACTTCACATGCAGAAAAAATAGCCTTCAAAATGCAGTTATCTCTATAAAAAACACTTGCAAATCAACTTCCTGGCAAGATAGTCCTTTAAGAAGCTACCCTTCACCTTGCTCTGGCTAGCTCATCACGACAGAAGTTTGTTTTCTGCCATCTCCTGGCCTCTGGACTAACTGGCTTCTGCTGTACTGTGAGAAGACAGAGGCTTTGTACCGTAGATTGCAAAGCGTTTTTTCATGAGATGCTCTGCAGAAGCAGGAAAGGGAAGCCGTGGGCCTTGTCCCTTTGGCATGCTGCTGGTCCCTTCTTTGGTTAAGCGTTATTATTTTAGCCTGGATGGGCTGGCCATGGAAACCAGTAACTTTGATGCCAGAGGAGCCTTTGTTGCTTTGATGCACAGTACAAAAAAAAAAAAAAATGCCCTCGGCCAGCAGCACTTTGAGACCAGTAATCTCAGTTAGGCAATGGATGCTAATAAACTGAGAAAATTCACTTCTAACGTCTGTCCTGCAAAAACCTGATCAATATTAAGTTTTTCAGAAAGAACAATAATTCATGTCAGAAACCTGAATCTGGAGCTGGAGAGATGGCTCAGCAGTTAAGAGCACTTGCTGCTCTTGCAGAGGACCCAGGCTTGGTTCCCAGAACCCACATGGTGTTTGACAATCATCTGTAACTCCAGTTCCAGGGGACTCGATGCCCTCTTCTGGCCTCCATGGGCACTGCATGACATGGTGCACAGATGCAGGCAGATCATTCATAAGTATAAAATAAAAATAAATCTAAAAAATAATTAAAAAAAAAACCTGCATCTGTAAAGAAAAAGGGAGGAGGCACAGAAAAAGAGTGAAGGATGATGGGTAACATGCTTACAATTTCAGCATGAGTTCCTCACACCCATCTGAAAAAAGGAGGGTGAGGTGCCTGTGATCCGGTGTTGGGGATAGAGAGAGGAGGATCCCTGGGGTTTACTGGTCAGTGTAGCCAAATCTGTGAACTCCAGGTTCAGCGAAAAGCCCTGTCTCAAAGAATAAAGTGGATAGAGATTGAGGAAGACATTTGTATGTGTGCTTGTGGGCGCTCAGTCCCCGGGACCTCAAAAAAACAGAACCCTAAACTAAACTGTCATGCAAAATTGAAACTTTCAAGGAACTGGAAATTGAAGGCATCTTTTTCAACAAAGAGTATGGTGCACCTTCCAAAGTGCTACAGTAAATAAACTTCATACTCGTATCCGAGCATTTCACCATAAATGAGGCGAGTGGCAAGTACGTTCTCTTTCTCTACTTACAGTTCAACATTTTAGTGGAGAGATAGACACTTCAGTCAAATAAGAAAAAGAAACAAAATCTCACCAAGTTGAAAAGAATACATAATCAAAAGTCTGTCCAGGATTAGCACATACATATAATCCCAACACTTGGGAGGTAGAGGCAGAAGAATCAAGAGCTCAAGGTCATCCCTCAGCTTGTTGACAAGACAGCCAGTTTGAGGCCTGTCTTAGCTACATAAAACCCTGCCTCAAAAAAAAACTTTTTAAACCTGCAGATGGCTTGATTCTGTGACACATATGGTAAAAAGAATAGAGAAAGAAGTTCTAGAAAAAAAAATCTCACAATACAAAAGACCAAGATGAATATAAAAATACCATAGTGGTTTCATAATAATGATTACAGAGCAGCAATAAACTGTGAAAACCAAGTTTAGAAGGCTTAGAAAGGCTCATAAACAGAATATTTAGGGCTGATCATTGTGATGCACACCTGTCATCTTGGCATGTGCACACACAAACACACATATGAGCTTGTGCACACATATATATGCACACAATATGCATGAATAAGCAAGGAAATATGAATGAGATCTGTGGATTTTCCAGTGCTTAATTTCCCCTTTTGGCACTGTATTGCAGACCATTAAAATTCACGCCAGAGGTTACCATCTGGGAACGACTTGGAAGGGAATAAAGAGCCTTCATGAATTCTCTCTATATCACTTTTTTGCAGCTGTGAACTTACAGTTATTAGGAATAAAAAGACACAAAGGAATTGTGGGAAGTGCAGACCTATGGTGGGAACTTTACCAGGCAGGGTGCAACACTTTTAAAACTCTCTCAGTGGAAAGAACGAAGTGAAGGTAAGTGGTTGTCGTGAAGCAACAGTGTCTCACAGCATTGGAATGGTGGGATATTCGGTGACTCTGGCTTGGACAGGGCTTATGTTTTCACTATGTGTAGATGCCACCCGCAGAGGGCGCTGGTGTTTGTCGCCACCATTCATAATTACAGAGCGCTTAAAAAGTCATATGAAGGGGCTGGGGAGATGGCTCAGCGGTTAAGAGCACTGACTGCTCTTGCAGAGGACCTGGGTTTGATTCCCAGCACCCACATGGCGGCTATGAACCGTCCGTCCTTAACTCCAGTTCCAGGGGAATCCGAAGCCCTCTTCTGACCTCTGTGGCACTGCACAACACGGGTGCACTCACATACGTGCAGGCAACACACTCATACACAGAAAATAAAAATAATAAAATTTAAAAAAGTCATATGATAAAGGAAAGGAAAATATTAACTTCATTTCACATCCAAGTGCCCACTGACTACCAGAACAATTTTCATTTGTAAGTCTTGGGTAATATGCTGTAGGATAGAATTTAGAAAATATACACATTGAGATAGGATATTTTATCCAACTAAAACCAATAACAAAAATTCTCTAAACGGGTCAATTAAATTTATTCAATTGAACTGCTGAAATTTTGCTAAGCTTGGCTTATATAACATTTTTATTTGGTCCATGTATTCTGTTTAAAGGGTTATTTATTTATTTTAGTTTGTTTTTGTTGGTTGATTGTGTGCTTTTTTTTTTTTTTCTGAGAGCTGGTCTTATATAGCCCAGAATGGCCCTGAATTTGCTACATAACTAAGGTGGGTCTTGAACTCCTGATCCTCCTGCCTCCACCAGCTGGGGTTGTCACTTGTCTACCATGTGCAAGGCCCGAGCTCAATTTCTAGCACTGCAAAAATAAGTAAACACAGCAAATTAATAATCCTTCTATTCAACACCATCTCAACCATCACAAAAACCTTCGTGTCTCAGAGCATCTCCTGTGGCCTGATGCCTCGACACAAAGAAGGAAATGATCCTGTGCTGATGTCAAAGCCTGATAGAAGCAGCAACACCTTGAGTTGACAAGAGCTGCCGTGCGCACAGCGCTCACTGCTCAACAGGTGTAATGTCTTTCTAAGAGTCTTTTGGTGTATGTGCTGTTTATTTATTATTTTAATTTAACCGTTATATGTGTATATGACTCTCTCTCTCTCTCTCTCTCTCTCTCTCTCTCTCTCGTATGCTCATGGAGATGAGAAGAGGCATCAGATGCCCTGGAGTTACAGGCAGTTGTAAGTCACCTGTCATGAGGGCTGGGAACAAAAACTCAGGTCCTTTGGATCAGCACCAAGTGCTCTTAATGGCTGAGTCATCTCTCTAGACCCTATTTTGGTTTTTAAAAGTTTTTAAAAGTGTGTAGAAGTGTGTGTATGTATGTGTGTGTGAATGCACATGTGTGCATGTGCATGTGGAAGTCAGGGGGCAACCTTGTGCCATCACCAGGAATGCTGTCCACTTTATTTTTGAAACAAAGGCTTCTATTGGCCTGGAGCTCACCAGTTAGGCTACACAGGCTGGTCAGTGAGCCCCAGGGATCTCCTCTTTAGACCTCCTCTGAATTGGCATTACAAGGGCATGCCAGCATACCTAGCTTTTTAAATGTAGGTTCTGGGATTTGAACTCGGGTCCCCGTGCTTTGAAGCAACCATTTTACCAACTGAGCCATCATCCCAGCCCAGGATGTGTAATTTCATAGAACATTACTCTAGAGCAAAGCCACCCTTTAACTATCAAAGATGGAAGGGACACTGACACTTTCAGCAAATCACAGCTGCACAAGGCAGTGGGGGAGGGAGACGGAGACACAGAGAGGACACACAACTTAAGCTACCATCTCCCCCAACATTGTACCACCCAACTAGGGTGAAGCTTTCTTCTTGCTTCTCCATCAACCATAGCTTTAATGTTGCTTTAAGTCTTTCCTCTTCAGGTATGGGATTTTAATAAAAATACACGATCAGGCTGGAGTTTGCATGCTCATGTGGAGGCTGGAGGTTAACTTCAGGTTGTCTTCTCAATCACTCTCTACCATGTTTCCGTCCAGGGTCTCATTGAACCTACAGCTCATCAGTTTGGTTAGGTTGACTGACCAATGGGCTTCAAGAATGTGCCTGTCTCTGCCTGACTAGCACTGGGGTCACTAGATGTGTGATGCCATTCCTAATATTTCCTTTTTTTTACATGGGTACCAGGGATCACAACTCATGTCCTTGTGCCGTGTGTCAGGTACTTTACTGAGCCATGTCTCCAGCCTCTGCCCCACTGCATAGAATTCCATTGTGTATTTCATATGTATATTATCTTTTATGTCAACAGCACACTGTTTTGACCACTGTAGCTTTGTAGTAAGTTTTGAAATTGCTACCCACTATTTTTATATCTCTAGATGCTAAATGGAAACCCCAAAGTGACTAGCTTTTCTTTTGTAGAAAATTAAGTAGTTGGGGCTGGCGAGATGGCTCAGCAGTTAAAAATAGTGGCTGTTCTTGTAGAAGATCAGGGTTCAAATCCCAGCACCCACATGGTGGCTAATGATCATCTGTAACTCCAATTCCAGGGGGATCCGACACCCTCTTTTGACCTTTGAGGGCATTGCACAACATGGGTGTACTTGCATACGTGCACATAATACACACATACACATAAAATAAAAATAAAGCAATAAAATAAAATACACAGTCGTGGGATTACCCACACTTCTTGAAAACATACATCGTAAAGCAAAGATCCTCTTTCTGACACCCTTCTACTAAATCACTTAACATAAGTGTAAACCCTAGAGAAAGTCTCCTAGACACTGAAGCCCAGCTGCTCACAGGTTGCCCTGGGGTGTGTCTGTGGGTGTGAGTCTGTTTTATTGTTATGGTTTTGTATTCTTACATTTTAATTTCAACCCTATAAAAATCATCCAGTCTTTGTGTATGTGGAATACAAATGCTTGTACATGTGTGTGTGTGAGGGTGTACTCGCCTGTGCCTGTCAACGTTGACTGTCTTCCTCTGTGGCTCCTACTTATTTGAGACAGGATCTCTCCCTGAACCTGGAGCTCACGGTTTCGAGTAGACTGGCTGGCTCTCAGTCCCTGGGGTCTGCCTGTTACTGATCCCCAGCACAGGAATTACAGGAGCACACCATCATGCTTGGATTTTACATGAGTGCTGGGGATCTGAACTCAGGTCTTCAACTGCTGAGCAGCAAGCTCTTTACCCACTGAACCATCTCCCCAGCCCAAGACGGTCCATTCTTGAAAAAGTTAAGGAGATAGCATGCAAAAATGAAAAATTTTGTCTAGTGATGGGTAGTTAACGTACCTTCATATAAATAAAACACTGGGAAGTAAAGAGAGCAGTTGTGGCTTGGCTGAAATGGCTCATTTGGGAGAACCTCGGACTCGAGAATAGCTGGGGTATGTGGGGACAGAAACAGTGCTTATTTCTGTAGCTATGACGTTTGTCATCTGATTAAACATGATGGGGCTTCACAGTCAGTGATATTTTCCTTACATATAAAAAGTGACATGATATTTTGAAATACAAGGCAATAGAGATTTTCGGTTAGATTTCCTAAGGCATACTTAGGTGAGCAGGCTATGTACCCATCAGCAGTGATGCCACAGTTCCCAGATATGTCGTTCTTAGAATTCAGTTCATTATAGCATTCGTTGGTACCAAAGTCTGCATCTGGAAGCAGAAGGAGTGCTGTTAGCCACATTGACCTTATGGCCCTTAAAACTAAATAAGCACAGCATACATTTGAAATTCTGAAATTATTTAAAATATACTGCAGGAGCTGGAGAGATGGCTCAGCAGTTAAGAGCCCTGGCTGCTCTTGCAGAGGACCTGGGCTCAATTCCCAGCGCTCACATGGCGGCTAACATCTGTCCATGACTCCCATCCCAGGGGATCTGACGCCCTCTTCTGACTCTGCAGGTACTACATGGCACAGGTGCACTTACACACATGCAGGTGATACATTCATACACAAATAAACCCATACAATAGAATCCTAATATAGAACTGAAAATACAAGCTAGATGTTGGATCACAAAAACCACTTCTGTGAAATATGTAAAACTTGACAAGACTCTCCTGTATTTTCCACACACATAAACTAGATACAGCTTAGCATTAAGTTACATGTAGTTTAAAGTGTAATGATAATAAACCCATACAATATACAAGAAGGCTATTTTAAACAATCATTGGCTTACTGGTCAATAAAACTATTGCTTGTATAAATGTTTTTTCAAACCGCTCACCAATTTTTAAAAATTGAGCTTTTGTACATTTCATACAACAGTTCTTAATCAAACTCAGACCCCTCCCCTATTCATGCCCCCCCCACCTCATGCATCCCGCCATACATTAAGTCCTATCCAGTCAAGCATTTGTACCCAGATGCCCTTTGGTGCAAATTCATCGGCTGGAGTCTAGTCAGCCTATCTAGAGATTGTTGGTAAGGTCTAGTCTCCCTCACCCAGTAGTAATCAGTCTCCAGTAGTTCCCAGTCTAGGGCCAAACTGCCACTCATTTCCCTCCTCCACTCTGGACCTTTGTCTGATTGAGTTGGCATGGGTCTTGGGCTCGATGTCACCATTGCGGTAAGTTCACATGTGCAAGCTTCCAGTGGCCCGAAAGCCTCTGCTCACCAATTATTTTTGTCATCTCTGCTCTATTTTTAATTCTGAGATTCAAACTGCTACAAGAACAGCTTCTTTTTCATAGTCTCCGCCTGGATACACTTTGGCGGGGCCGTTTGACAACTGCTCTGTGAGACTAAAAAAAAAAGACCCATCGTGAGAACAGGCCCAGCAGGCGCACTAAGTGCTCAGTTAAGATGCCGTGAACCCAAAGTTAATTGTTTTGTCCCAATGATCATTTGGAGCTGGTTGTGGGTAAGAAGTCAACATTGTAAACATGGCTGGTAGGGCAGAAAATCAGTGCTCATGGAGAGTGAAGGAGCAAGGGTCTGAGAATGTTTCATAGCTGCAGAAACAAAATTACAGCTTCTGGGACCCTTCACACTCAACTGACTCCTTCTGCTCTTTCCTGATACCAAACATGGGAAAGATGGATCAAACTGTGAAAAGCAAGATGGCTTTCACCTGCCACGTCTGTGATATGGTCGCACATTTGTTCCTGTATAGGTCAAAGCACTCAGATGAAAATCCTGGCGACCCATGGGAGAGAGAGACAGAAATTCAGCCATATCCAAATTCTAAGTGAAGCTCATTGACTATCAATTATCAACACGTATCAAATGAATCAAGACGATGAGTTTCCCATTCGATGTCTTGCAAAGGAAAAAGACAGGGCTAGCATCTGCATAAGGATGCTGTGATGGATAGCTTTAGTGTCAACTTGACACACCTGGGTTGAGGGAGCCTCGGTTGGGGAATTGCCTCTATTGGACTGGCCTGTGGCCATGTCTGAAGGGCATCTTCTTGATGAGTGATGTGGGAGGGCCCAGCCCACTGTGGGTGGTGCCACCCCTGGGCAGGTGGGCCTGTGTTGCATAAGAAAGCAGGCTGAGCAAGGGCCAAGGGAGCAAGTCAGTAAGCAGCGTTCCTCTATGGCCTATGGTCCAGCTCCTGCTTCCAGGTTCCTGCCCTGAGTTCCTACCTTGGGCTCCCTGATGAACTGCGACCTGGGAGTTGTAAGCTGAATAAACCCTTTCCTCCCCAAGTTGGTATTGGTCAGAGTGTTTTGTCACAGCAATGAAGAAACAAACTAGAACAGATGCTTAGTCTACAGACAACCAGTAAGGATGGAAGCACCAGATATGTGTCTCCAGCTACAGTTTCACTCAGAAATAAATAAAACAAAGACAGCTAGCTATCTTGAAAATAATTGAGCGAGTGTCGTGGTGCATACATCAAAAAAATGACAAAGACTGTAATCTATAAGAAATAAAAAGTATCAAAAATGGAAATTGAAGTAATTACAGAAATTTAAATATAAACATAACAATATTTGGATTTTTAATATTTTTTAAAAGTATGTTGACTTAGCAACAATGGTACATTTTAGAACTGTAGCGTACAGTGCATAAAAGCAAATTTCCCAATGCTTTCAACTTCCTGGCTTGTTTCTCTTTGAGATTCAGGGACAGTAAATCAGTATTCCCAGGAATTCTCAGAAATTTCAAAGTTACAATCATTTTAGGCATACTTCTAGAAATCTTCAGTCCATATTTTGAATAACTAAAATTCTTATTTAAAGAATAAAATACACTGAATTTAGTAGTATTTACAAAGGATGACAGTCTACAGTGATACTCCAACAATGTAAATCATCATTTAAAATTCAGATCTCAGGACTGGAGAGATGACTCGGAAGTTAAGAGCACTGGCTGTTCTTGCAGAGGACCCAGGTTCAGTTCCCAGCACCCACATGACAGCTACTTACCATCTGTAGCTCCAGTTCTAGGGAACCTAACACCCCCTTCTGACCTCCCCAGGTACTGCATGACATGGGTGCACTCACACACATGCAGACAATATACTCATACACATAAAATAAAATATATGAAATATAGGTTTATATTTAATATTAATTTTAATGTCAAGGCAGACCCCAGTTCAGTCCCTGGAGCCCACAGTGGAGGAAGAGAGCTGACTCTTCAAAGTTATCCTTTGACCCTGACATCTGTGTCATGGCATGCATGCACCTGCACACACACATGTGCGTGCATGTGTGCATGCACACACCACCACCACCACCAACAACAACAACAAATACATTTTTTTAAAGAAGAAAATGCATTGTCAGTGCTACAGTTTGAAGCCCCACCATGATGTGCCTCGCCAGCACATAATGTACTGAAAACAACAGGGCCAGGAAACTGTGAACTAAAACCTCTGAGACTGTGAGCCAAAATAAATCACAGAGCTCGACCTGCTTCTGCCTCCCGAGTGCTGGGATTAAAAGCATTCAGATCTTTCATGAGTTTTCATGAATTTTTTTAATTCAATTTTTTTTCATGTGGTGCTGGGGATTAAACCTATAGACCTCACTCATGTCAGGAAAACACTTTTTCACTGAGCTACACCCCAAACCCATTTTATGACCTTTTCTTAATACACCCTTCCCTGCTTTTGCATCATGGATATTTTATTTTCTTCTTTTTCAAAATTTATTTCTATTTTATGTGCATGAGTGTTATGCGTACATGGTAAGTGCACCAGTGTCATGCGTGCCTGTGGAAGACAGAAGAAGGCATCGGATCCCCTGGAACTGGAGTTACGGATGGCTGTTAGCTGCCACGTGGGTGTTGGGATTTGAACCTGGGTCTTCTGCAAGAACAGCTAGTGCTCCTAACTGCTGAGCCATCTCTCCAGACCCCACAGATCTATGATTTTTATGCTTACAGTTCACTCTTTAGATCCATTATTCTAGTTTGAGCAATTTGCATGAGAACCCACCAGTCATGTTCCTAATGTTTACTTTAAGAATTTGTATTAGTGACTGGAAAGCTGGCTCAGGGGTCAAGAGGACCAAGGTTCAGTTCCCAGCACCTATGGCAGCTCATAATCATCCTTAATTCCAAGGCTTTTGATACTTTCTTCTGTTCTCCTCATGCACCAGGCTTGCACATGGTGCACATACATATGTGCAGGCAAATACTCATATACATATATTACAAATAAATAAATCCTTTAAAAAATCAATTATTGACTTCATTTTTTTTGACACTGATGTTTAGTATTGTGCTTCCTGTGTCTGGGATGGTTTCATGAACACATGGTATGGAGTGACTGGATCTAGCTTCATGTTAATATCAAGGATTCAGATTTCATATTTTCAAAATTCTGTGATGGATTTTATATCACCTCTATCTCTGGATCATCTCCAAGTTTTTATTTAATTTCTTCAATACATTCCTTATTTTCACACATCACCTCTGGGCTTCTGTTTACTGAATTCCTCTCTTTTGAAGTTTCTATGTTGCTGCTATGAAGCGATTTGGGACATGGAATAAAAACAATCAAGATGGTCACACACGGTAGCATTCATGTGCAATCCAGCAATCAGGAGGCTGAGGCAGGAGGATGCTGAGTTCCAGGACAGCCTGGGATACACAGTGAAACACTGTCAAGAATTTAAAAGTATTAAAAAGATACTATGATATTTCTCAGAATAGGGTGAACTTTTCATAGTTTTTTACTCTCGAGGTTATTTATTCCATTACTTTTAAAGATTTGTTTTTAATTTCTTTTTTTTTTTTTTGGTCTTTTTGAGACAGGGCCTCCCTGTAGCCCCAGCTGTCCTGGAACTCACTATGTAGACCAGGCTGGCCTTGAACTCACAGAGATCCTCTTGCTCTGCCTCCCAAGTGCTGGGATTAAAGGCGTATGCCATCACACCTGGCTTTAATTTTAAAAAAATTTAAAGCTTTATTAAAAATTTAAAACTTAATTTTATTGTTATTTATGCGTGTGTGTGTGTGTGTGTGTGTGTGTGTGTGTACACCAGTGCACGTGCAAATGCCTCCAGAGTCCAGAAGAGGGCATTGGAGCCACTGGAACTGGAGTTACTGGCAGCTGGGAGCCACCTGATGTAGGTGCTGGTTCCTCTACAGGAGCAGCTAGCAATCTTAACTGCTGAGTCATCTTTCCAGGCCAATCTTCTTTTCTTTCTTTCTTTCTTTCTTTTTTTTTTTCTTTTAAAAGTTTTAGAAGCATTACTCAAGAATATCTAATTTGTTAAAGAACACTGTTGCGGGACATTCATTAGTTTGTAAATAATGCATTTAATTTTCATTCTTGTTTGGTATCTAGCATTTTGAGGTTTTTAATCGTTAGTTAAAATTCTTTAATTTTTAATATATAATTTTTATTGAGTTTTTGTGCATTTTGTATAATAGATCTTAACCAAATTTAGATCCCCTTCCCCCATTTGCATCCACCAGAGCCCCCCCCCCCCTGGATTTCATGCATTCTGTCATATATGTTAAGGCCTATCCAGTCAAGCATTTGGATCCAGATGTCCCTCAGTGCAAGTTCATTCTCGGGAGTCTAGCCAGCCTATCTAGAGTCTCTCCCTTAAAGAAGATCAACTTTCCCTCACCCAGTAGTAATCAGCTGCCAATAGTTCCTCGGCTAAGGTTGGGACCTGCTGCCCGTTTTCCCAGTTCTAGGCTGGGTTTTTGTCTGACTGAGTCAGCATAGATCTTGTGCATGCTGTCACCACTGCTGCAAGTTCCTGGAAGCCTGAAAGCCTATGTTTCCCTATGTTCACGTACCAACCCTGGCTCTTACAATCTTTCTGCCCCCTCTTCTGCAGTGGTCCCTGAGCCACGAGTGGGTGAGGTGTGATATAGGAGTGCCATCCAGGGACACACTTTTCAATCTCTTATTCTCTAAAACTTGGTCAGTTGTGGCCTCTGTGCACACTGTACTCTGTTACATGAGGACGCTGCAGTGGCAAGAGTTGCGGGATGCGTTTGTGTTCTCTCCTCCCCGTTCCCATACGTTCCATGAGCCTTAGGAGTAGAGGTTCCATTGTAGATGTGTCACTTAGGGCTATGGTATCAGCATTTTGATTAGGGGTGAAGCCGAATACTGATTTCTTAGGTGAACGTAGTGGCTCAGGTTTGTAGCCTCAGCTCCTTGAGAGACGGAGGCAGGAGGATCACAAAGTAAAAGCTTGCCTGGGCTACAGGGAAAGTTCAAGTCCAGTCTGGGTAACTTAGTAAGACAATCTCAAAAATAAAAAGGGAGGGGGAAAGGGAGCAGAGACTGGAGATGTCAGTGGTAGTGTTCATATACAGCATGTGTTCAATTCTCGGTACTGCAAACAAAACAAAACAAAGCAAAGGAAAACAAACCAAACCCTTTCTTTTTAGGACCCAGAGATGCCTGCATGGAAAATCAAGTGATTAAGAATACCTTCACCAAATGTATCTGCACACTGCTTTGACCCGCTCTGGCAAGATCCATTAATACAGATCCACTGATTGTCTCCACACGGGTGTCCGTTGTGGACAAAGAAGTCTTCGTCACACACCGCTGCTGAGCCATTGCAGTACTCCACGAGATCACACTCCTCATTGGCGGGCCTGCACACGCTTCCTTTTTTCATCACCTGATGGGGTCAAGTCAGTCATATGGAATAAGGTGGCTCACGGGGAAAGACACATGCTAAAAAACACTGATGCTCACTGTATAGATGTAAAAGGCTCTTACATTACAGTTATCACAGCACGGGCCATCAGCACAAACTGAACCTTGTGACAGTTGACACGTGGCAGGATCACAGCATGGTGGAGGGTTATTGCCACACCCCTGAAAGGCAACCCACATTGGATAGACAATTTAATGTCAACATATTACATAACATACAGACAGATGCTCATGCTCCCTGTTGGCAAACAGAAATAAAAATGGGAGTCACTTATTTACTCATCTGACAGACATTTATTGATTACCTACTAAGTGCTAGGTCCTTTTTTGTTTATTTGGTTGGGTTTTTGTTGTTGTTGTTTTTGTTTTATATTTGAGACAGGGTCTCCCTGGCCTGGAACTGGTCTGGAACACCCTATGTAGACCAGGATGGCCTCCATCTCATAGAGATTCACCACCTACCTCTGCTTCCCAAGTACTGGGATTAAAGGTGTGTGCCCAACTAGGTTGTTTATATTCCTAGGATAGAGTTTGCTACATTGGTAACAGAATTCAGATGCCATAAGAATCATCATATTTGAGACACTGAGGCTTTTTTAGACAAAGAGATGGTTAAATATAAGATGTGAAACTAACAGAAGTTAAGATTTCAAAACTATTGCAGTGACTCTATTATTGCTATAGTTCTAAACCTACTATCTTATATTTTAATGTCTCAATAACATTTTATGGGTATTGTGTTTTTTTTTTTAAATATGTATGTATGCATGTCTCTGTGTGCTTGCCATGAGCACAGGTGCCTACATAGGCCAGAAGACGGCATCAGGTCCCCTGGAGCTGAAGTTACAGGCAGTTGTGAGCCACCCAATGTGCATTCTGGGAACTGAACTTGGATCCTCTGGAAGAGCAGCAAGTACTCTTAACTGCTGAACCATCTGTCCAGCCCCTGTCTAGATGAGGTTGGCCTGTGTGTAGGGTTCTGTCTTGATTATATTCATTGTGGTGAGAGCTCCTGCTCAGTGTGGACAGCACCTTTTCCTGGGTTTGGGTCCTTGGACTTTGTCAGAGTGGAGGAAGCCAGCGAGGCACTAGATAAGCAAACACATTCCTCCTCTCTCTGCTTTTGACTGTGAATGTAACTAGCTGTTTCAAGTACCTACTGCTTTGACCTCCCTGCCATGATGGACTGTAATCTTGGAACTGTGAGCTAGAATGATCCCTTTTCTTTCCAAAGCTGCTTTTGTCAGTTTTATCATAGCAACAGGAAAGGGAACTAGGACAGCATTTAAGCACCTGAAGCTCGTTTTCTATTGAGCAGGGTTCACATCAGGGCCCTTAGCCAACATACAGGGAACTTTGATCTTCTGCTTACCTGGTTCCCCAAGTACATTGTACTCTCAGTAGTCTGGAAAACAGCTTGCTTTCCTGTTGTGTTATCTGTGTTTCATCTCGCTTATTCCCTTTTATCTAATCCTTCCCACTTCTCTCCAATCTTACAGTGTTACATAAAATTTCTATGGTTTGGAAAAACTACCTATGGTTATATGTATGTTTCAAGTAATTTTGGCTTAATTATGGGCCTGAATTAAAGTATCTCCAAGCCACAAATGTGCCTCCCACATTTTCTTATTTCACAGTGAAAGCTTTGCATCATCTTTCTGAATGGCAAAGGAGCTTGTGTTTACGAGAAAGGCTGAGAAAGAGTAGAGTCACGGGGAAGAGATGGGACCTGTACCAATTCGATCGTGGGACCTAATGGTCTTGAAAATGACTTGCTTGAAAACTCAGAATGGAGTGTGGGAGGGAGGAATGGAGAGATGGTGGTCTGGGGATACAAGATTTCAGACATGCAGGATTAATACGTTCTGGAAATCTAACGTAACAGTGTGACTATAGTTACGAGAGCATATTGCACACTTGCAGTTTGCTAACAGAATGCATCCTAACTCTTACCAGGAGAGGGAGAAGAGAGAGAGTGAGAAAGAGAGAGAGAGAGGGATGGAGGGAGGGAGGGAGGGAGGGAGAGAGAGCGAGAGCGAGAGCGAGAGCGAGAGAGAGAGAGAGAGAGAGGGAGAGAGAGAGGGAGAGAGAGAGGGAGAGAGAACTCATAAGCCGGGCATGTTGGCTCATATCTGTTATCCCAGCCCTGAGACCGAAGAAGCTGGGACAGAACTGTTGGGAGTTTTGGGTCAGCCTGGGCTACAGAATGAGACCCTATGTCAAACAAACAAACCAAACAAGCAAACAAATAACTGTAGAACATGCTAACTATGTGAGTTGGCAAGGTAATTAGCTTAATTGTGTTATTTCACAATGCACACATTATCAAATGAACTTGTGCATGATAAATGCACACGATTTCTTTAGTTGCCAACTATATATCAATAGAGTAAAAAAAATAAAAGCATTTGCATGCATAACCTATACATCAGTGAGCCTGCAGGGAAATATGTAGGTTCGTGTCCCTCATAAAGGCTTTTGTAGAAGAATGACTAATGGCAAATGAAGGAAAATTACTGCAACACCTTAAACACTAACTCTAGGGGTGCAATTCTGGTCTCCAACTTTCCAAAAATACTGACCTCAGTTCCACAATCACAGACTTCTCCTGTTTCCAATTTTCCATTCCCGCAAACTGCCTTCTTGTAAGACAGCTGTAACCGTGGCTGGTTCAGAAGACAATAGGAGCTTTGACTTGAGATAAAGCTTGTAAATTTTTCAATGCTGCAATTGCTAAAGGTCTTCATACCACTGGAATAACTGAAAACATGTCAGATTTCTATGTTAAGGGTTTCCATAAACCTCTTACCCTTAGGATAAAACTATTTAATCAGTATTCCACAACAGCAGCTGAACTTTTCTGTGCACAGGACATCGATAGTGCATGGATTTCTGTTCAATCTTGTCATCAGTAGCAATGAATTGTGTTTGCTTTCTATCACGTTTTTTTGTGATGCCAGCCTCTTGTTTTAGCTTCTGCATTATGAATCACTGTTTTTTTTTAAGCTGTTGCTTCGTTTTTGCTCGATGACTTCTATATGATGGAATGGCCACGCCTTAAAAAAATTAAGTCTTTTCCTCTCTTTTAGCTGTTCTTCATAGGTAATTACTGCCCCAGTTTTATAGTTTTAAGAAGAGCTACATCTTGGTTTTCCTCAAACTTATCACCTAAACTCTGGAGTCTAGTGTCTGACTTGTTTGTATGTGCATGTATGTGTGTATGCTTTTGTGTATGTGAGTACGTGTGTGTGTGTGTGTGTGTGTGTGTGTGTGTGTATGTAAGAGACAGAAGTCAGAGGTCACTCTTAGGTGTCATTCCTCAGGTGAAGTCCACTTTGCTGTTCGGCAAGGTCTCTCACTGACCCAGAACTTTGCTGACTTGGTTACCCTGTCTGGCCATCAAGTCCCAGGAATCCTGCTGTTTCTAAGCCTCCAGCACTATGATCGCAGGCTCATGCTATCAAGCCTGGCTTTTTTCATTTTTTCACTTGGGTCCTAGGGATCCAGCCCAGGTTTCTGGGCTTGGACAGAAAGCACTTTTACTCACTGATCCATCTCCCCAGCTCTGATACCTGACTCTTTTCTTGGTGCATCTTCTTGATCTTACCTTATAAACATATTAAATTTAAACTCCATAAACTCTAGATCCCTTTGCCTCCAAATCTGCCCCCCACAAAGGACAGCATAGCGTTAGTATCCATAATCTGTGAGCAACCAAACTGCATGGTTAAAACTGTAGATTCATGTTTGTGGTGTTTGGTATCAATTGTTAACTTGACACCTAGGAGGCAGGACCCCAGACACACCCATGAGGGATTGTCTTGATGAAGTTTATTGATGTGGGAAGACTCATTTTAACTGTGGGCAGGACTACTCCTTGACCAGGAGCTCCTCGGTTGTACAACGTGGAGGCAAGCTGAGCACTGGCATGCGTGTCTTAATTCTTTCCTGTCTACTTCTGGACTGTGGATGTGAGGTGCTCAGCGGTCTAGAGCTCCTGCTGTTGTGCCTTCCCAGTAATAATGGACTGTACCCCGGAGTTATGAGCCACAATAAGCCCTCTCTCCTGTAAGTTGTTTTTGTCAGGGAATTTTGTCACAGCAACAGAGATCCTTGTAAGAGATACGTAAATACTATGCATTTCATTTCCCTCTTTCCAAAATGAAGACAAAAGCATTATCTCATAGAGTTGTGAGAATATCATTTATGCAAAGCACTGAAACCTGCTCTCATGCAGAATTTGCTCCATTAGTAAACTTGATAAATGGAGCACTTGATAATTTGAGAAAATGACAACTAGCAAGGTGATCAGGACAAAATATCAAAGCATCTTCTGTTCCTCACCATGCCCCTATCTGCCATAAAATCCTGTCAAACTTGCCCGCTAATCACATTCAGAATGCATTCTCCATGACAGCTGCCTGTTCCCAGACTCACCATCTCTCATACAGGTGGTCCAGCTGAGCGTGTGTTTCAATACTTGTTCTCTCAATCAACACAATCAAGACGTTCCCCAAAACATGGATTGATAATTTAAAAATTTTTTATTTATTATTTTTATTTTATGTGCATGAACGTTATGCCTGCATGTAGGTAAGTGCGCCTGTGTCGTGCAATGCCCACGGAGGACAGAAGAGGCCATCGGATCCCCTGGAACTGGAGTTACAGACAGTTGTTAGCTGCCATGTGGGTGCTGGGATTTGAACCCAAGTCTTCTGCAAGAACAGCTGGTGCTCTTTACCCCTGAGCCATCTCTCCAGCTCCAAGGATCTATAATTTGATGATGGGAATGACTAATATAATGTAAGGTGGTAAGCTTGATGGTCTCAGAGCCTAATCATTTGTATTACTGCAAGAAGATGTTATTCACATGAGGATGACATAGACTTTGGAAGAAGCTGCTGTTAATGTTGAGATGTGTGTGTGTGTGTGTGTGTGTGTGTGTGTGTGTGTGTGCAGTGTAGGTACAGCCTCATTGAACATAGCTTTCAATTATATTAACTATGCATAATAGATTTATTATAAATTTCCAACAGTTTTGTGTGTGTGTGTGTGTGTGTGTGTGTGTGCATGCCTGTGTATGCCACAGCTCACATGTGGAAGTCATAGGACAACTTGCAGGAATTGGTTCTCTTCTTCTCCCATGTGTATCCCAGGGATTGAACTCAGGTTGTCAGGATAGGCAGCAAGCACCTTTACCTCCTGAGCCATCTCACCAGCATGCTTTCTATCTAAATACCAGAAAGCAGAAGAGCAAAAGTAATAAAGGGTCACAAAATGGCTCTGCAGGTAAAGGCACTTGCTGTATAGCCTGTGTTTAATCTCCCAAAGCCACATAAAGGCAGAAAGAGAGAACTGACCCCTCAAGATTGTCCTCTCACCTCCACATAAATTCCATGGCATGGGCACTCCCCTATATATCATGTAAACACCACACACACACACACACACACACACACACACACACACACACACACATTGAAATGAAAAGGAATGGAACTTGAAAGGACATACCCACAGGTATGTGTGGGTCTGTGATAAGCGTTGTGATAATGACATGGACATTGTTACTAGGAAACACAATGCGAATTGCCATTCATCCAGGTGGTGAACAGATTTACAGCTTGAATGTCCTATGGATTTTGGCTCTTTCCTCTCTCCCTTCTCCCATTTTTCTTTGATAACAGAGCCTCTAAGCCCCTGAATTTAGTTGGACATGTGATTCTCTAGCATATGTGATTCCCCAGATCCCACTGGCTTTTAAAGATGAACAAATGAAGATTATAAAAATAAGTTTATGATAAACTAATCAATTTTGATAAGATGGGCACATATTAGAAAAATAAAAATAGCCCAAATCAAAATAGAGCTCTATAATGTGACAAATAGGAAACACTTTTTGAAAAAGAGCAATCCAAGCCTATCTTGGCTTTACTGGTCAGTTCTGTCAAATAATTCAGAGATAAACAATGCCAATGTTGCCAAATCGGTATAACCCTCACAGTGAAACCAGCATTACAACATTATAACATTTTAACAGAGGACAGCTGAAGGTCAAACTGTGCACTCTATTTTCTGGTGGGGGGCAATGAGGAGATATTATATTCTAAAGAATTCTAACCATGATGATGATTGCTATCCTAGTTTTCTGATGCTGTGATGAAATACTTGAAAGCAGCTTCGGGGAAAGAGGGTTTATTCAGCTTATAATTCAAGGTTACAGTCAAATCCAAGGCAGGCATTCAAGCCACTAGTCACAGCTCATTCACAGTCAAGACAACAGAGAATACACACATCCTTGTTACCCCCCCTTTGTTTTTGGTCTTGAGACAGGGTCTCCCTGTAGCCCCAGCTGACCTGGAACTCACTATGTAGACCAGGCTGGCCTTGAACTCACAGTGATCCACCTGCCTTTGCCTCCTTGCTGAGATTAAAGGTGTGTACCACCACACCCAGCTCCTTGTACACCTATTTCCTGCTTCTACTCAGTTACCCTTCTTTACTCTTACATACTTCAGGACCCAGCCTGAATGATGTCTCATTCACGGTGGGTCTCCCCACTTCAACAGTCAAGGCAGTCTCCCACAGACATGCCCATAGGCCAAGCTGATCAAAATACTTCCTTAATTAAGGCCTTTCTCTCAGAACCTGATTCCAAGTTGTAGCAAGTAGACTATTAAAAGCAACCATCACAATGGAGTCATTCATGAGACAGCTCACCTCGATGGTACTCAGGAGACTGTGGAGGGTCCAAAGAACTGTTTCTTTGTTAGATCTTCAGAACCTTTCTATCATTTGTTCACAGTCACTATAATCCCATGTCACTATCATCATTGTGGTCAAAGAATAATAAAAATGTAGTGAACAGTGCTCAACATTTTTAACACAAATCACATGAAATGCCATCTTTTTCTGAGTTAACCCAGGAAGAAAGTTAAGGCATGACCATGACCGTAAGTTTATTTCAGAAGTAGTCCTTGGAAGCAGGATAATGGGGTGAGGATGAAGAAACAGAGGTGGGGTATCCAAGTTAGCTTTAATTGTCAACTTGACACAGCCTGTTGTCATCTGACTGGAGAGCCTCAATTGAGGAATTCTGAAGATCAGATTGGTCTGTGGGGCATTATTTTGATTATTAATTGATGTGAAGGGCCCATCCGTGAGTGGTACTATCCTGTTGGATAGGCATGTCCTCCGAAAGAACTGGCAACAGCTGAATATCTGAATCCTAAGAGACTCCATAGACAGAGGGGGAGATGGTCACCCCTCCTACCCAATCGGTCAGCTTCAATCACGTGAGGGGGAGGGTCTAAGAAGAAGAAGCCAGGGAGGCGGTGTGAGTTTTGCCATCTTGGGTCTGGCAGGCACAGATCAGAAAGCTCAGCCAAGATGTAGGGAAAAGAGCCCACAAGTGTCCGTGCCTTTGTAAGTGACCCCCTCCAGGACATCAGAAGCTTTGTTGGCAAGCCCAAATAAATATCTTTATTCCCTAAACTGTAGCTTAAAGGAACATCGTGTCAGTTTGCGGGAGGGAAGGTCACAGCATACTTCACAGAGGTTCCTGGGAGCTGAGGGTGCATGAGTGTGGGCCTCCCAGGAGAGAATCTGGCTTTACACATCCCTAGGTAGTGGTCTTGGGTTATATGAGAAAGCTAGCTGAACATGATCCAGAGAGTGAGCCAAAAGCAGTGCTCTTCCGTTGTTTCTGCTTCCATTCCTGCCTTAACTTCCCTCAGCAATGGCGTGTGACTTGGAAGTGTCAGTCATATAAACTCTTTCCTCCCTCCTTTGCTTTTGAAAGATCTGAGTGTTTCATCGCAGTTACACAGGGAATGAACAAGGAGGAAAAGTCTGTACCAGCCATGACAATAGAGGCCTCTTTCTGTTGAGACCGCAGGGACGCGTACAGGACATCTGACAGAAGTGTCTTTAGCTGGTGTCCAGCTAGAGTCACTGAAGGCAACCCCCTGTGGGCCAGTATAAGCCTTTCATTTGGGGTCTTGTTTCATGGGTGGCCTGGGGAAGAGAATGGTTGGCATTCACAGATGTCATAAGTTTGGTCAGGTCTTTGCATGTGTCTTCTCAAGTAAACACTTTCTGGTGGGAAATGAAAAACATCTATACACAGCTGCCCCTTGGTGCTCATGGAGGGTGTGCTCCGAGACACCCTGTGGATACTCAAATCCTCAGACACTCAGGTCCTTCAGAGAGCATGGCATATCTACACATAACGTATGCGCATCCTTTCATGTACTTTACATCATCTCTAAATGACTTGTAATGCCCAAAGTCAATGCTATGTAAATACTTGTTATACTGCACTGTTTGAGAGACGGTGACAAGAAAAAAAGTCTGTATCTCATCAGCTCAGATACAGTTTTCCCCAGGTGCTTTTGACCATGACTGATTGACTCTGTGGAGGTGAAACTCTGTCATGTAGAGTAAAGCACTCTACAAACTCACACCTTTCTTCCCTGCTCACTTGTCTCTGATCAGTGTTATGGCAGCTGTGTCCTGACAAAATGGCCGAGTCAAATGTGATAGCACAGGATTCTGTACCAATCCAAACCCTTTGCACTTCTTTCATGCAAGGGGGAAAGTCAAATGTATTGCTTGCAATTCTGCTCACTGGAATGTTGGCCATCCCCTACCATCTTTGCTTCTAAATATAATCGTACTACCGAATGTAATGATGTTTAATTTTTTTATACTATAACATATCAGAAAACGATTGACATTTTTCTGTCTCCATCAATCAGTTTTAGGGAACTTTTAATGAGGCCATTGGCATGATTAAGAAATATTGATGCAATAGGGGCCAGGGATGTGGCTCAGTTGGTGAGTGCTTGCCTAGCATATATGAAGCCAGCACCATGTAAATAGGCTGATTGCTGGACACGGCGGCATATGTTTATGATTCCGGCACTTGGGGAGCAGATGCAGGAGAATTGAGAATTCAAGATTGTTCTCAGCTAATAGTGAGTTCGAGGCCAACCTGAGCTACATAAAAATTACAAAATCATGCAAGTAAATGATTCTAAATGTAGAGCTAATTCACAGATGAGAAAGTAAGTGTGATGTTTGATGACAGGAGATTCTGAGATAGATGGGAGGCATGGGTCCTTGAATAAGTATTTTATACTGGGGTCATCAACACGTACTCAGCCCTAAGTATGTATTCTAACAGACTAACTTGAGTTTGTGTGTGTGCACATGCATGCATGCATGTGCATGTATGTAGTACTGGGGAGTGAACTTAAGGCCTCATACCTGCTAGACAAGTGCTCTATCACAGACCTGAATCCTCACTTCTCTGTTCACTTTTTTTTCTTCATTTTTGAGACCATGTCTTATTAAGTTTCCTAGGCTGACCTTGAACTTGAGATCTTCTTGCCTTAGTCTCCAGAGATGAGGTTACAGGTGTGCATCACCAGACTTCTAATAGGGTAGCCTTTCTTAAACTAAATGTATCCAAGTTATCTTAATCTAAACTATATAGGTAAGTCGAAGGACACATCTCTTACATTGCTTCCGGGTTCATTATGCAGATAGCTCCACCACACTGGCATTTGCTGAGGTCATCATATGCTATCCCCATGCTGAGGCTCAGTAGCTGAACTAGAATAATTGAAAGTGATTCCAGAGTTATGGTTTTGGGGTGCTGAAAAATAAACAGACCACAAGTGTGCATGAACATGTGGTGGAGGCATTTTATTTGCCAGTAGGAAAAATGTCATCACTATAAACAGTCACAAAATAAAATAGAACAGAAGCATCTATTGTGTTTTCAAGGACGTGCCATCCAGGTTGCAGCTCATTTAGTATGTTACAGGAGATACTACAAACTCAGGGAAGGTAGAAAAAATAAAACTCTAGTCTTAAAAGATATTAGTAAAGTGGGGAACATTTAGAAAACAATTTAGTGGAATGAATTCCAGTTAAAATATTGAGGTGCACAATAATAAATAAATTTGTAAAAGCTTAGAAAATTCAAAATAGAACTGAGTTTCCTTAAACACTAAAAAAATGGCTATAAAAACCTAGAGCATATATATTACATAATAGTGTAATACTCAACTTTTCCTAGAGATCAGAAATGAAATAAGAATGTCCATTATCAGCTCAATCCAATATTGTTCAGTTTAATTTTCTCAAACATGCTTACAGCTTATGAAGAAAAAACAAAACAAAAACAGCTTCACTTATTTGTGAAATCCGAAATAGTCAAACTCACACAAATAGAGTTTACAGCTGTGGTCGCCAGAGAATCGGGAATCGGAAATATTAGTCTTTCCATACAGTGCCTCAGTTTTAAGATAAACTCCAGGGATCTAACACACAACTGTGCTTAACAACATGGTAATGCAACTGCTGAGCCATCCCTCCAGCCACTATTACACATTTTAATCAAGCAGATTAAATCTTGTCATACCAGAGCAATACCTCCTGCGTGGGTTTTATCACACATCTTCCCTTGAAAGGTGGCCCCAACGTAGTCTGAGACTTCTCTGTAACTTGAATTTAATAACGAATCACAATCATGTCATTTTGCAGAAGGTAGCACAATTAATATTTTTTAATCTGACAGATTTTAATGTTGCACACTGATGTTAAGACTCCTAAATACTGCCACTAATATTAGTGTGATATGGGTTAGGATGTGCCTAATGTTCCTGCATCTTCTAAAAATGATAAAACAGACTTGAAAAAAACAATAGAAAGTGCATCTTCGCATGGATTTCTGAAACATAATGAATACTCATTCAGTGTAGCAATTTTTCAGACGAAAATTAGTAGACAGTCTGAAATAATTAGGATGAAAATGATTAAAATTCCTTAAAACGAGAACACTAGGACACTAAAGCTGACACCTGAGAAGAGTTGGAGCAGAAACTAAAATCTCCTCATATGCAGATAGTTAGCCTGCTAGAGCCATACAAAGGTATGCCGCGACAGAATACTAAAGGTATTAATAGAAGAGGCTGTATTTTATATTCTAAAGTTATTGATGAAAGAAAACCAGAGTTTGTTAAACAGAAGAGGTGTAAGGTGCCCACTCCACCTTATTTTTATGTGTGTGAGTGTATTGCATGCATGTATGTAAGTGCACCATGTTCACAGTGCAATGCCTGCAGAGGCCAGAAGAGGGTGTCAGATTCTCTGGAACTGGAGTTACAGATGGTAGCCTCTGCTATGCGGGTGCTGGGAATCAAACCTGGGTCCTCTGCAAGAGCAGTCAGTGCTCTGAACTGCTGAGCCATCTCTACAGCCCCTCCACCTTATTTTTTGAGACAGCATCTCTTACTGAACCTGGAACTCACTGTTTTGGCTAGACTGGATGACCAGCAAGCCCCTGGGATCTGCCTCTCTCTGCTCCACCCCAAGCACTAGGGTTACAAACTTGTGGACCATGAAGATTTTGCATGGTGCTTAAGATCTGAATTTGGACCCTTATGCTTATGCAGCAACCACATTACCCACTGGACCATTGCTACAGCTCCTTGATATTAAAAATATATATATATATATAAAATCATGACAAGGTAGAGCAAAGCAAAGTGACAAACTTCATAGGGTTCAGATAGGCCTTCCAAACATATTAATGTGGGACGCATGGCAGAGGACACTTAAAGAAGGAGGCTTACCCAAGGAAAGAGGGCACATGGAGGCAAGGAAGTAAGTTTGAACTACTGACCAACAAAGTGAGGGCTCTCAGTGGTTCCACCATAAAGGCGGTTTTCTAACACTATTCGCGTAGTGTTTTATATTAGGGAAAAAAAGACGGAGAACATTTATTTGGCTAAAAAGCCTGTGGATGATCAGAAATTGGGTCAACTGGTAATGTTTTCTTAGTACACTGTTTAGTAGCTCAGAACTGTGCTTACACTAGTAAAAATGCTATGTCGTGTGGACGCAGAACGAGGTAAGAGTGTTTCCATTTTAGAAATTTGTACAACAATTCATTAGCATCTCCAGTGACTGAGATTCTGTTTTCATCAATCCAAAACTCCAGGGAAGACAGAATTACTGTGAGATTAAGGGGAGCAAAAATCTAAAAGAGAACACAGAGAGAAAGAAAACCTGTTCAAACAGTATTAACTACAGGGATATAGCAACATAGCTATGAAAGTGAGCTCAGGACAGACTAAACAACTGAACTGTAAGTCTAGACTGGACCCTCAAAAGCAGACTGGGAGGTGTTAAATGCCACTGGTCATAAAAGTCCTGCCTAATACTTTAAAATGCCTGTGCCCAGGCGAGCTCTATGAGACATGGCTCATTGTATGCAATTCTTACAATGATCTACAGGCAGGAAAGCTGAAACTTCAAATAAAACTTAAATTTCCTTACATCACATTGCGTGTACACGTAGGTGGAGTCGTAGAAGAGGAGTTGGAGTTGTTAGCAACAGAAGTACAAAGACATATTTTAAAACCTTTTTATTGAATTTTTGTGTATTTCATACATGAAATCATCTTTATAACCCCTTCCCCTTGACACCTTCCCATAGTCCCCCCCACTGGAGTTCATTCATTATGTCATTTGTATTAAGGCCTATCATGTAAAGCTGGTGTCCCTAGATGTCCCTCAGTGCAAGTTCACCACCAGGGTTTAGTCAGCCTATCTAGACTCAGCTCTTCCTCACCCAGCAGTATTGAGCTGCCAATAATTCTTCAATGAAATTGGGGCATGCCGGTCATTCCCACAGTTCTGTGCTGGGTTTTGTCTGCTTAAATTTGCACGGGTCTTGTGCATGCTGACACCATTGCTGTAGGTTTGTATGAGAAGGGTCCCAGGCACCTGTAGGACTATTTCCATATGGTTCTGCACCTCCTCCCTGGGTCTTACAGTCTTTCTGCCCTCTCTTCCAAAATGGTCCCTGAGCCCTGGGTGGGTGGATATTAATATAGGAGTCCTGTCCAAGGACCCACACTCTCAAGACTCTTACTCTCTGTGTTTTGGGCATTTGTGACCTTTTGAGTTCCTGGCCGTCTGTTGCGTGAGGGAGCTTCATTGATGAGAACTGAAAGACGCATAGTGGTCTCTTCATCCCTTGTTCTGTGTTCCGTGAGCCTTAGAGGTACAGGTTGCATCCTAGATGTGCCACTTAGGCTTGGGCAGTTCACAGACAATCTCTGTGTGTGACCAGTTGTGGAACTCTGTAATTATCTCTGTCTCTTGAAAACAAGCTTCTTTGATGGGAGGTGACCTGCATACTTGTCTATAAATTTAAGGATCCATATTTTGCACATGGTAAGAAATTACATTCTAGAGAGGTGACAGCCTTGGAGTTTTTTCTCTAAGATCTATGACCTCTCCAGCTATATGTATTTGGCTAGGTTTACCGTATCACACATGAGTTTCCTCCCGTTGAGTGGGCTTTAAGTCAAATTAGGTAGCTGTTGATTTAACCCAAAGATAAAAGTGCCACTATTGTACCAGTATCATTTGCTGTGCTGATCATTGATGTGGTTTTTAGGCCTTGAAGCTGCCGTTGGACCACCATCGATTGATGTTCTCCCTTCCCAGCTTGCATAGTGCTCTCCAAAGCTATGAGAGCTAGCCTTCAGGGGAGGAGGTTTCCTGATCCGTTAATCCAAATCCTGCGTCTGAAATATGTCCTGTCTTTAGCAATAGGGTCTTACCTTCAGGTTCTGGGAGGCAATCAAGAACTGTGACAAAGCCTGTGTAATTTTAGGATTCTCTGGACTACCCTGGCCAACAACTCAAATGAATGTTTCTCCTGTCTGGCACTGTTTCTTGTTATGCAGTCTTCAGCTGTACATGTGGCTCATGTAGGGATATTGTACATGTAATTTTTGAGTAGGTTTTTGGATTGATACAATTCCTTCTGGCTTCTATATTAGCTAGGCACTATTTATCCCTCCTCTTTCTCTCCCTGCCTTATCCTCCCTCCCCACCCTCACCATTTAACGTGTCCCCATTTTCCCCATTTCTCCTTTGATAGCTTGTTTGCTGGGGTCCCACCTCTCTTGGGTTCCTTTCCCTCTTATTCCCATAGTTCTTGTACAGCCCTCCTCTTCCCCTCCCCTTTACCTACCCCCTTTTACATATTTCTCCCTTAGTAACACCCATCTCCTATGATTCTTCTCTCGGGTTCCTTCTTTCCCTAAAGAATCCCTCCCTGATTCCTTTCCATTTTCCTGCTTCCTGCAGTTACATCAGGTGTTACATGCACTCACTTATAAGGATTTGGTGCTAGGACCCACATATGAGGGAGAATATACGTCTTTTGTTTTTCTGAGACTGTGTTACTTCACTTAGTATAACAGTTTCTAGATCCATCCATTTACCTGAAAATTTCATTATTTCATCTTTCTTTACTGCTGAGTAGAACTCCAATGTGTAAATGCACCACATTTTTGTTAACCACTTGTCAGTCCAGGGACACTTAGGTTGCTTCCGTCTCTTAGCTATTGTGAAAAGAGCAGTAACAAACATGGTTGTACAAGTATCTCTACAATAGGATGAGTCCTTTGGGTATATGCCAAGGAGTGGTATAGCCAGGTCATATGGTAGGTTCATTTTTAGTTCTTTGAGAGTTCTTCACACTGCTTTCCATTGGGGTTGCAAGAGTTTACAATCCCACCAGCAGTGAATGAACATTCCCCTTTCTCCACATTCTCACCAGCATTTGGTATCATTTGTTCTCTTGATCCTAGCCAGAATGACTGGGGTAAGGTGCAATCTTAAGGTGGTTTTAATTTGCATTTCCCTAATTACTAACAACGTTGAATGCTTTTAAACATGTTTCTTGGCCATCTTTAATTTTTCCTTTGAGAACTCTCTGTTTAGATCTTTAGCCCATATTTTAATTGGGTCATTTGCTCTCTTGATTCTTTGTTTTTTGAGTTCTTTATATACTTTGGATGTTAAACCTCTGTCAGATGTGTCACTGGTAAAGATTTTGTCCCACTCCGTAGGTTTTCTCTTCACTTTGTTTCTTTTGCTGTATAGAAGTTTTTTTTAATTTAATGAGGTCCCACTTGTTGACCTTAATTCCTGAGCAACTGGTGCCTGATTCAGAAAATCCTTTCCTACACCTATATCTTGTAGGTTACTGCCAATGTTTTTTTCTAACAGTTTCAGAGTTTCGAGTTTCAATCCATTTGGAGTTGACTTTTGTGCAAGGTGAAAGATAAGGATCTAGTTTCGTTCTTCTACAGGTGGAGATCTAGTTTTGCCAGCACCATTTGTTGATGCTGTTTTTACTCCACTGTGTATTCTTGACACCTTTGTCAAACATCAGGCAGCTGAAATTGCGTATACTCAGGTTTGGGTCTTCAATTATGTTCCATTGATCTCTGTGTCTATTTTTGTGCCAGTACCATGCTGTTTTTATGACTATAGCTCTGTAGTATAGTTTGAGATCTGGAATGGTAATTTCCCCTCCAGCATTGTTCTTTGTGCTCAGGGTTGCTTTGGCTAACCTGGGTCTTTTGTGCTTTTCTTATAAATTTAAGGATTTTTTTTTTCTAATTCTGTGAAGTAGGTCATGGGAATTTTGATTGGGATTGCATCAATATATTACTTTTGGTAGGATAGTCATTTTCACAATATTAATTCATCCAATCCATGGGCATGGGAGGTCCTTCCATCTCCTGGTGTCTTCCTCGATCTCTTTAAAATTTTAAGATTTTCATTGTAGAGATTTTTGATGTCTTTGGTCAGGTTTATTCCAATATATACAGATTTTTTTGAGGTTATTGTGGATTGGAGGGTTTCCCTGTATTCTTTCTCCAATTGCTTGTGATTGGTATACCAAAAGGCTACTGATTTTTCTTGATTAATTTTATAGTCTGCCACTACTAAAAGTGTTGATCAGTTCTAGTTTTCTGGTGGAATTTTTGGGATCTCTTGGGTATAGTATCATATCATCTGCAAAAAGGGATAATTTGACCTTTTCTTTTCCAATTAGTGCTCCTTTAATTTTATTCTCATCTTATTGCTCTAGCAAGAGTTTCAAGCTCTATGTTGAAAAGGAGTGGAGATAGTGGACATCCTTGTCTGGTTCCTGATTTCAATGGGAATGCTTCCAGTTTTTCTCCATTTAGAATGATACTGGCTGTGGGTTTGTTGTATATGGCTTTAATTATGTTGAGGTATGTTCCCTCCAGTCCAATTCCCTCTAGGACTTTGAACATAAATACATGCTGAATTATGTCGAAGGTCTTTTCTGCATCTATTGAGATGGCCATGTGGTTCTTGTCTTTGAGCCCATTTATATGATTGATGACATTTATTGACTTGCATATATTGAACCATCCCTGCATCTCCGGAATAAAGTCTACTTGATCATGGTGAATGATCTTTTTGATGTGTGTCTATATGCGGTTTGCAAGTATTTTGTTGGGAATTTTTGCATCTATGCTCATTAAGGATGTGGGTCTATAGTTTTCTTTTTCAGTTTTGTCTTTGCCTGGTTTGGGTATTAGAGTGATGCTGGCTTCATAGAAGGAATTTGGGAGTTCTCCATTTCTATTGTTTTTGAATAATTTAAGTATTGGTTGGAGGTCTTCTTTAAATGTCTGGTATAATTCTGCTGTAAATCCATCTGGGCCTGGACTTTTTTTAGTCAGGAGTTTTTGTATTACTGTTTTGATTTCCTTATATGTTATGGGTCTGTTTAAGCTGTTAATCTCTTCTTGGTTTAACTTTGGTAGTTCCCATGATTTTAGATATTTGTCCATTTCTTTTAGGTTTTCAAATTTAGTAGCATATAGGTTTTTAAAGTATTCCCTTATAATGTTCTGGATCTTTCTGGTGTCTGTTGTGATGTTTCCCCTTTTATCTCTGACTTTGTTGATTTGGAGGTGCTCTTTCTCTCTTTTGGTTAACTGGGCTAGCGGTCTGTCAATCTTGTTTATCTTTTCAAAGAACCAGCTCTTAGATTCATTGATTCTTTGTATTGTTTTCTTTGTTTCTATTTCAGTAATTTCTTCTCTGGTTTTTGTTATTTCTTCTCATCTGCTGGGTTTGAGTTTCATGTGTTCTTGCCTTTCTAGAGTCTTGAGTTGCAATATTAAGTCATTTATTTGTGATGTTTCTGATTTTTTAATGCACGCACTTAGAGCTATAAACGTCCCTCTTAGGACTGCTTTTAAAGTGTCCCAGACATTTTTGTTGTGTTGTATTGTCCTTTTTGGTCAATTCCAGAAATACTTTTATTTCTTTCTTAATTTCTTCTTTGACCCATTCATCATTCAGGAGTGTGTTGTTTATTCTCCATGCATTCGTGTAGTTACTATTGCTTCTTCCCGTGTTGATTTTAAGCTTTTTGCATTGTGGTCTGATAGAATGCATGGAATTATTTCAATTTTTTTGTAGTTGTTGAGGTTTGTTTTGTGCCACAATATGTGGCCATTTTTTAAGAAAGTTCCATGGGGTGTTGAATAGAAAATGTGGTCTTTGGTGCTTGGGCGGAATGTTCTGTAAATGTCTGTTAGCTTCATTTGATGTATATGGTATCATTTAATTCAGATGTCTCTTTGTTTATTCTTTGTTCGGTTGACCTGTCTAATGGAGACAGTGGGATATTGACATTCCCTGCTATTACTGAGTTGGGGTTAATCTGTGTCTTAAAGTCTTGTACTGTTGTTTTTATGAATTTGGGTACACCAGAGTTTGGTACATATATGTTCATGATTGTAATGCCTTCTTGGTTAATTGTTCCTTTGATTAGAATGAAGTGACCCTCTATCTTTTCTGATAAATAGAATTGCAACCCTTGCTTGTTTCTTAGTGCCATTTGCTTAGAATATTCTTTTCTATCCTTTCACCTTAAGGTAGTGCCTGTCCTTCAAGGTGAGATGGGTTTCTTGCAGACAACAGAAGGATGGATTCTGTTTCTTAATTCATTCAACTAGCCTGTGTCTTTTGACTGGGGAGTTCAGTCCATCGATATTTAAAGTTATTATTGAAAGATGCATATCGGTTGCCATCATTTTGATTACTGTTTGCATTCTTTGTCTGATTTTGTGTTTCCACAATTACACCTTCATTTAGTTTCTTTCTGTTGCCCCTGGGGTACAGTTGTTCCTTTTTCCGTTCTTTGTATTGCTTCATGTATTCTTTGAAGGGATGGTTTTGTGGACATGTATTCTTTCAGCCTATTCATGTCATGGAAGATTTTTCTTTCCCCTTCATCTATATTAGACATTTTTGCCAGGTGAAGTATTCTGGGTTGGTGTCTATGGTCATTTAGAACTGGAAATACTTTGGTCCAGGCTCCTCTGGATTTCATAGTTTGCATTGACAAGCCAGCTGTAATTCTGATGGTTTTTTTCTTTATATGTGACTTGTTGTTTTTCTTTTGCTGCCTTCAGTATTCTTTCTTTGTTCTGTACATAGTGTTTTTACTATGATGTGTCATGGGGAGTTTCTTTTTCTGATCCTGTCTCTTTGCTGTTCTATGTGCTTCTTGTATTTGTATGAGGATGTCTTTCCTTAACTTTGGGAAATTCTCTTTTACAATCCTGTTTAAGAGCTGGTCAATACCATTAACCTAAAATGCTTCTCCTTCCTCTATGCCTACGATCACAGATTTGGTCTTTTCATGGTGTCCCACATTTCCTGCATATTCCATTTCTGTGTTTTTAATTTTTTTTTCCATAATCTTTGCTTGAGCAGTACAGTTCTTCAACTTTATCCTCCAGTGTTGATATTCTGGAGGAATATCATGTCGTTCCATTTCATTCTATCAGTTAGGCTTTCTCCTGTTGTTTCACATTGGCTTTTCACTTCCCTCCTCATTTCAACCTAACTTTTCTTCAATATTTCCACCTTTTTTGTGAATTCTGTCAGAAGTTTATCACTATCTTATTTAGTTATTTGATTTGTGTGTTCTTTAAATTCATTGAATTCCTTGATTGTGTTTATGACTGTTCTTTTAAATTCTGTGTCCTGGGTTATTTCTAGGGGGTTCTCATTGTAGAAGTGTTCTATAGGACTAGTGGAGTTTGGTGGGAACATACTGTTTTGGTTTTCCATATTATTATTTTTCCATTGTGATTTTGGCATGTGGATTTCTTTTGTTGTTTGTATTTCTGGAATGAAACTCAAGCCTTCCTTTGTTGAACTGAATTCTGCTTCTGTTTGTATGACTGGTGTCTTTGGTTGTTTTCTTATTGAGTATGTAAAGCTGGTAGGTCTAGGATTCAGGTTCTCTCAGATTTTATATTAGAGGGAACTGATGGCTTCAGATCAGCTACTCAGGAGCTCCCACAGAGGCCTAAGTCAGGCTCTAATCAGGTACACTCAGGCTTCCTTCGAACATCTGGATCCCTACTAGTGGACACTCACAGCACAACTTGGGAAGTTTGCTAAGGGGAGGCCTGATTTTGGCACTCTCAGGCTGTCTGCTAGGTTCTCAGTCCCTATTGTAGGGCAGAGAGGTCTAGCCCTGGTGAAGTGGGAGGGGCCTCAAGTGTTCCTAGTTAGGGGTTTAGGAAACGCATGATTTGGGGAAGCTTACCACCAGGCAGAGGCCAGATCCAGGCACTCTCAGGCAGTCTGCTAAGGTCTCAGCCTCTACTGTAGGGCAGAGAGGTCTAGGCCTGGATAAGTGGGAGGGGGCCTCATGTAATCCCAGTTAGGGGTTGTACACAGTGCAGTTTGGGGAGGTTCATAACCAGGAGGAAGAGGCCGGATCCAGGCACTCCCAGGTGGTCTGCTGCAGTCCCAGCCCCTACTATAAGACAGGGAGGTCTAGCCCTGGGCAAAGTGGGAGGAGGGGCTCACATGGTCCCAATTAGGAGGTTGAGCAAGGCTTGATTTGGGGAAGCTTACCACCAGGTGGAGGCAGATCCAAGCACTCTCAGGCAGTCTGCTAAGATCTCATGTAAAGATATTTTTAAAAGGCCAGGCGTGGTGGCACAAACCTTTAGTCCCAGTACTTGGGAGGCAGAGGCAGGATGATCTCTGTGAGTTCAAGGTCAGCTGGACTACAGGGAGACCCTGTCTCAAAAAGAGTAGAAAAAAAAAATGTATCTTTAAAGAAAGAAAACACTTACGGCATTCACCAATCCAATCAACTGGAAAATCTTCTGAGTGACAACAGATATGTCCGTACCCATACGATCATACTGTAAAATACAATGGCCTTTTAGCTTTCTATCTTTATCTCTATCTATCTATCTATCTATCTATCTATCTATCTATCTATCATCTATCTATCTATTTATCTATCTATCTATCATCTAGTTTAATGATGTAATTCTGTTTAAAATTTAATATACTAAAGTAAAAATTTGTTCAAATGAATTTTTAAAATATTTTATTTATTATTTTTATTTTATGTGCTTGAGTGTATTGCCTGCATGTATGTAAGTGCACCTGTGTCATGTAATGCCCATGGTGGTCAGAAGAAGGCATTGGATACCTCTGGAACTGGAGTTACAGGACAGTTGTTAACCACGGTGTAGGTGCTGGGAATCAAACCTGGGTCCTCTGCAAGAGCAGCTAGTGGTATTAACTGTGGCTCCATCTATCCAGCCTGTTACCAATGTATTTTTAATCAACATTGTTTTCTTATTATTCACACCACATGGTACATAGTGTGACAATAGAAAACACACGAAAAATTAAAAATATAGGATATAGTTCCACTGTTGATAAATTAATGATAATCATTGTTGATAGAAAATATTAGCTTAAAATGATTTAGAAGATGAGTACCTATTCTTCCAGGGTAAAAATCTAAATCAGAAAGCCTACGTATTGACTGTTCCTGTAAAAAGCCATGCTGGCCTTAAACTTCATCAGAACAATTACAAAAATACTGATATCAATATAAGATAAAGGATCCGAAGAAGAGAACTCTAAAGAAAAGGGAGAGGCAAAGGCAAATCAGAAAGTGGACATCGGACAGGGTAGGAAATGATTATGCAGACCTAAGAATCCTGACTCTCATCAGCATAGCAATCAAAGTCACCTTGAAATCCCAGCTCAGACTGGCTATTCATGTCTCTGAAAGCAAGATGAGTCGGCCCTTAGAGCAGACAGGTTGACTTAAATTTTAGGAAGTAATTTAAGACTGGGGAAACTTCCAGAACTGGTACATGAGAAGCTCCTCAAATGTTATACGCTAAATGACTCCACTGACAGCATTTTGAAAATGAAAAAAATCTATAGGCATGTAGAGCGCATGACTGGATTCCAAGGGTCGGGGAGGGTGGGTGAGGGAGGAGTGTGGTTAGTGAGGCCCACACAGCAGCTCCTTGTTGGGACGCAAACACTCTGCACCTTGACTGCATCACCTATGGTATCTAGTTGCCGCCATACTGGGGAAGGAGGTAGCATGTCTAAAGAGATGACAGAATCTCTATATTCTTTACTTTTTCTCAGTGTATATTTTTATTGAATTTTTGTATACTTCATATAAAAGAACTTAATCATCTTTATACCCCTCCCCCATCTGTAACACTCCAATCCCCACTGAATTTCATGCATTCTGTCATATAGGTTAAGGCCTATCCAGTTAAGTTTGTGTACCCAGATGTCCCTTGGTGCAAGTGCATCCACTGGAGTCTAGTCAGCCTGTCTAGAGTCTCTCCCTTAAAGATCAGCTCTCCCTCACCCTGCAGTCAGTTGTCAACACTTCCTGGGCTGAGGTAGGGGCCTTCTTACATTTTCTTGCAGGTGTATGTGAATATATAATTATCTTCAAATTAAAAGGTGAACAAAAAATGAAAAACTATCTTCATAGAAACTTTTCACTTGTGACAAAAGAAAGTAATAAAGAAGGGACAAAAAGAGTTATGAACAAAAACAAATCAAAATAGCAGGCATAAATATAAACGGGAATGCCATTAAATACGGATGGATAAAATAATCCAAGCAAATGTCAGAGATAGCCTGACTGCAGGAAATAATAAGGTTCTACGATTCTAGAACTATCTGTAAACTACTATAAAAGAACCATTTTGTTTATTAACATTATTATGTATTATCTAAAATTGACAATAAGCCTTTAACAGACCTTAGAATCCCAATTTTGTACAGTTACAAATAATTAAAAATTCATTAGAACCTGCTAATGAGAAACTGTTACCAACTCTCCTCTGTCAAAAATTTATTCCGTAAGACACAGGAAAAATTTTTATAACCCTTCCTTGACAGCAAAGAGTGAGCAAGACAAAGGCATCAGGATCCACTTACCAGTTCTTTTTCAACCACAAGATGCATTTCTATATAGTGAAAAAAATCTGGTTTGAGCTGAAAAAGAATCCACAAATTTGATGTCAAAATTGAATGTTACTTCAATATGTTCAGTTTTATCACTACTACTAATGAGCTCAAGGTTGAAAGATTTCTACATTCAGAAACAGGACCCCCCAAACAAGCAAAAGTAGATGTCCAGGATCCTCTCCACCCATTCCGTTTGTACTTCTTTATAAGCCAAACATTTAATTTACTCAGAAAATAAGTTTCTTCTCCTCTCCTTTTTCCACATTCCCATTGGTCCTACATGTAATTCTGTTAGCTTAATGCCACTCTTTTTTGAAAAAAAATTATGCGCATATGTGCGTTTATGTGAGTGTATGTCATGTGAGTGGAGTGCCTGCAGAGGTCGGTAGAGGCATCAGACACCCTGGAGCTGGAGTTCCAGGTAGTTGTAAGTCACCCAATATGGGTGCTGGGAAATGAACCCTATGTCTTCTACAAGAGCAGCAAGTACTCTTAACCACTGAGCCATCTCTTCAGCCCCTAACACCACTCTTGTTATATTAATTTGTAGTTGGTTTTACATATGATCCCAAACTGGTAATAAGATGTCCTTGTGTTTAGAGGACCAAATTTCATCTAAAGTATAAAATTCATACTAATTCATACTTGTATAAATCATCTAAGAGCAAGATAAGCAAGCGAGACTCAGATGATGGATTTTCTTAAAGTAGATCTAAGTGCCAGCAGACACTTGGCTCATGATGGTTAAAACAGAGAAGCGTCTGCCTTCAGGAAGGGGTGTAAAGGAGTGTGAACTCTGGATTCATGTCTACAACTTACACTCTGCTGAGAACTGGGAATTAAGGAAGCATTGCTACAGTGATGCTTAATAAAAATTGTTGTCTATGTTCATAATTGTTCCATGGAGGCAATGTAGCAGAAGCTTAGGCAAACTCTGCAAATAGTTTGATACTCTGGGGTACAGAGTCACAATATTGTGTCACCATAAGAAATAAAATGGGATGGTTTACTTTCAAAAGAAAAGTATCCTTAGCCAGCTTAAGTTCATTACAGAAAAAGAGAAAACATTGAACCCTTGATCACAATCTAACTACCCTTCCAAACTCTGTTACTCTACCTCCAAAACAGAAATTTAGAGTAGACAATTACTAACAGTCAAGTTTGTCTAATGACCTATAGACCAGACAAGGTCCTCTGCCTGATAAGCTTTAAAATACACAGATCTCCAGGTGTGGTAGTACATACCTTTAATCCCAGAATTCAGGAGGCAGAGGCAGGGAGATCTCTGTGAGATTGAGACCAGCCTGGTCTACACAGGAAATTTCAAACCAGCTTGGGCTACAGGGAGAGAAACGACAAACAGGAAATAAAATATAGATGAACCCACGCAGTTTTTACTGAGAAAAAGACAAACCTAAGTGGCAGAGAGAGAGAAAAGACCCAGAGGACGTGTAAGATTGTACCCTCCTGATTACTCAGCACCCATGGAGTTCAGAAGAGGGTTTCGGATCCCCTGGAACTGGAGTTACTGACAGTTGATAGCCGTCATATGGGTGCTGAGAATTGAACCTGGATCCTCTGCAAGAGCAGTTAGGTCTCTTAACTGCCGAGTCATTTCTCCAGTCCCTCACCTTTGTTTTTTAAAATGCAGTTTTCCAGATAATCTATCTAAATTTAATTATGATTAATGGAAACTTTGTGGTTCTTTAAAAAATATTTTATCATTTTATTTTATGTGTATGAGTCTATTGTCTACCTGTGCATAAGTGTACCTGTGTCATGCAGTGCCCTAGGAGGGTATTAGATTCCCCTGGAACTGGAGTTATAGGCAGTTGTTAGCTGTCATGTGGGTGCTGGGAATCAAACATGGGTCCTCTGTGAGGGCAGCCACTGCTCTTAACTGCTGAACCATCTCTTCAGTGCTGTTTGTGGTTCTCATACATATTTAATCACAGTTGTGATTATTTCTTAAACCAAGTGTATGACAATTCAACTACATTTTGCTCCTGAATTTTCAAATTTTTAAACACTAGATCTCTGCTCTAATTAGAGTTTATTCTGTGTGAAATGTGAAATCATACTAAACTTTCATCATTTACCGAATTGCCGTTTAGTTATCCAGTCAACCTAAAGAGCCCATGTTTTCATCAATGGGAAGAGGCTGGCTGCCCGGCCCCATGGCCCGCCTGCATGTGTTTATTTCTGTAGAGTTCCTGTTATATCTGCTCTTCTGCACTCTGTGCTGTTTTCACATCTGGCCAGAGACCCACGGATTTCCTGTTGCCTACATTTTCGTATGTTTCTTTGGATAGTCTCCTTTTTCAAGTTTTCTGAACGGACTTTATATCTTTGTAAACACTTCCTGGTTCAGGCATCTGGGCAGATTTTGGGTGTGGGGGATTACATGAAATTTTAAGTTATTATAACACGAGTAACTGTGATTTTATGACTACAGCAGGGATTAGACTTAATGATAGTGACTTAAGAGTTCCAGAAGTGATGCCAGCACACAATGACATGAGTGAGGGAAGAAGGAGCGAGGACGTTGCCTGTTTCCAACGCTGGCGGCAGGAGTAGCCGCAGTGATGTCTGTGAGGGGGGGGGATACTGTACACCTGAAGATAAAGCATCTTAATACTATAAATCGTAACGGCAGAGGTTTTTAATAGTTCTGTCACGAGGAGCCACAGCACACGGGCACTGGGATGGCTGTGATGAAAATAGACAGGGATTAAGTGTTAGAAACAGATGATGCAGCCACTCTGGAGGAGGAACCTGGCAGTTATTTAAAGTATACAATGCAGAGTTAGCAAATGACCCAGCAGTTTAACTCCTAGCCTGTACCCAAGAGGAATGAAAGTGTATTTCAGCACAAAAACTTGTCTATGAATGTTCCTGGTGGCATTATTTTATTTAAATAGTGGAAATGACCCTATTGCTCACTTGATGAGCAGTAACTGTAGTGTATTCCTGAAATGGACTAGAATAACGGACCAGTCATAAAAAGAAGGCATTGTTTCAAAATGCTACACCTTTGAGAACATGGTTAGTGGGGGAAATGTCACAAGAGAGAATACATTTGGTGATTCCATTTGTATAAAATGTTAAGTAGTTTCCAATAGAAAGAGGTACAGAATGTGCTTGTAGGTCTCTGTCATAATTCTTTAACTTTGACAGCAGACACTAACAATATCTATCTGTAACTACATCAATGGGTGTGTGTTCTAATAAGCCCCAATTGATGTAAATAGTCTGTCACTCAGTTATCAGAACAACCAACCAATAATATCGTGATGTTGTTCAAGTGAAATTTCTATTTGTTTTACAATATAATGAATGTAATATATAATACAAAATACATTAAATAAATCATTCAAAAGTTTTTTAGACGATAAAAAATAAAGTACTTGATTAATAAAAATTATGTAAAGGGACAGTAAAGAAATAACGAACATAAGACTGACAAGTGACAAGACAATAGATTCAATCTACATTTTATGTGTGTGCATTGAAATCAATGTCAGAAACCATCTATTTGAAATGAAGTTGTCAAAGGTGATATAAAACTTAAAATCAACAATATTCTGTTTAAAAGAACCAGTTTAATTGAAATATCTGTAGCTATTCTGATTTCAAAAACTAAGAAATACCCAGAGGCATGTACTGGCAAGCAGCCCTAACTAAGCTCAATGAATAATAAAAAAGACTAGGCGACGGGGTATGTTGGGATGAGAAAAGGGTTTCAAGGGAAGTAGGAGGGGGTAAGAGAGGGAAATATGAGCGAATATGATCAAAATCCATCACATGTAAGTGTGAAATTCTCAAAGAATATAGACAAATTATTTAAAAATTGGAACTACATGAAAGAATGAAATCAGAAACAAGGGAAGGGACACGACTAATCACAGACATTAAAGAATCAGGGGGAAAGTGTAGTATCTGATGAGGACGACCCCCCAGGCTCATTTGGTGACACGGTTTGGGGAGGGTCACAGAACCTTTAGGAGGTGTGGCCTTGCTGGAGGAAACACGTCACAGGGGCAGCTCTTGGAGTAGAGAGCCCTGTCCCATCTCTGGCTTATCTCTCTTTGCTTTCTGTGCCTGCTTGAAGATGTGAGCTCCCAGCTTTATGCTCTCATCACCTCTACCACCATGCCTTCCCACCTTCATGGACTCTTTCCCTCTGGAACTGTAAGCCCAATAAGCTCTTCCTTCTATAAGTTGCCTTGGTCATGGTGCTTTATCACAGCAACAGAAAAGTCACTAATACAGAAGTTGGCGCTGAGAATGGAGTAGGACTTTAGTTCCAGAAGGCTGAGATAGCCCAGCCTCTCAGCTTTGCAACAGAAAGTTACAAGGCTATTTTTAAGGATTATAAATTGTGAGCTTTCATTCAAACCCCACCCAAGGCTCAGGGACCATTCTGGAAGGGAGCTGGCGGGGAGCAAGAGCCACAGGTAGTGGATGACCACAAGGAAACAGAGTTTTCCAGACAGCAGGGCAGTTACTCATATAACCCTCAGTAATAGTAACAGTGTGTACAAGACTCACAGAAACTCAAGCCAGACAAAATCCCAGCATAGAATTGGGGAAGTGGGTGAGAAGCCCCAACGGTAGCTGAGGAACTCTTGGCAGTTGGTAACTGCAGAGAGGGAAAGTCAGTTTTCTTTAACCAGGCTCCAGTAAATGGACCCACACTGAAGGGCATTTGCAGATACAAATTTGACTTGATAGGCCTTAATATATATGCCAGAGCAACATGAAATCCAGTGGGAGGGCTATAAGAGGGGTACAGATGGGGGAGAGGGTGTAAGCATGATCAAAATATATAAAATTCACAAAAATTCAATTAAAAATTTAAAAAAATTATGACCATTCTGATCCATGTGCCTGTGTGTGTAGGAGGTATGTAAATAAAAAATTTATCAGAAAATTGCAATGCTTACATTGCTATAGAGTAAAACCACACCAATTAATTAATGACCTACCTCTATAGTTTGTATTTTATACTGCAGATCCCTTAGGTCCATATCCTTCTCAGTATATAACAAAGCATCTATTTTCTTATGCTTTACTTGATAAATCACATGCTCAAATCCAATTGAAGATTCGAGAGGCTCAATCCCATAGCTAACATTTCCAAACTGAAGAAAGCCTCTACCAAAAAAAAAAGGAATAAAATAAGTTTGGAAAACTTGCCACCATAATACATTTTTGTAAGTCCATTAAGTGCTCCCCAAGTGCCCCCAGATCCACAGACTTACTGTAGCACGTAGCACAGAATAATCATATGATTGGTTATTTCTTAGCTATTAATATTTCATGATCTCCATGTTTAAGAATAACTTTAATTCAGTATGAGGGTAGAAGATGAAATTAAAATAATTTCCAAATAAACAACCCATTTTGTGTACACACACATGCACACATAGTAATTTCCAAGAAAACAGCCCACTTGTATACAATTATGTGTTACCACCTGAGTCCAGTGCATGTGTTAACAATCACCATGGAATCTGGATAGCCTTCAATATATCCTTGGAAATAACAGAAATTCTGAAAGACAAAGATAATACACAGGTATCTCATGGCAAAGATATTATTTTTAGATACACAAAACCGATATTTTATGTGTATGCATCAAATACCAGTTGTTTTTAAAATAGGTTTATAGGATTAGTAGGTGAGAATACAGCTCAGTGTTTCCAAACGTTCTCCAAGTTTCATAAAGAACAAAGACACACAGTTTCATGATTTTCTTGATTATTAGAATATGGTAAATATCATCAAAAACTCACTTTTTTCATATTCTTCTGACTTAATTGTTCACGACAGAAAGAAAATAGGTTCAGAAGAGAAATTATTATTATTATTATTATTATTATTATTATTATTATTGGTCTTTCTGAGACAGGGTCTCCCTGTATCCCCAGCTGTCCTGGAACTCACTATGTAGATCAGGCTGGCCTTGAACTCAGAGATCCACCACCCTCTGCCTCCCGAGTGCTGGGATTAAAGGCGTGTGCCACCACCATGCCAGGCGAGAAATTATTTTTTTAAGAGTATTTTGAGTGTGACACTAGATTGGCTCTGCATAGACTTAGTCCTCTCCCAGAGATCAACTATAATCCCTAGAAAAAGAGATAATTTTAACTTCACTTGCAAATGCAGGCAGACAGGAAAGGAGAGTGCAATGGACTCCAGAAAACAGACAGCCACATTTGCTGAGATTCCACCATGTGAGTTTCCATGTTTCCACTGGAAGGACTCACCAGGCAAGGGTACTGGAGGCAGCTAATGTCTAATGGCAACCCCAACTTCAGTTTCAGGATGTTTGAAAGTTGCTGGACATGAGACGCAATGCCCAGGAAGGGAGTCACAGAAGAAGGCCCCAGTACAGGTACTCAGGTTCAACTTCTGTATCTGCCCTTGGATTGAAGAGTGGATCCAAGATGGCTGCCTGTCTGACCATGTGACAACCTCTAGCTTTATTATAATTTCAATATTAAAGTGAAATACTCACCAGCTGCCCTGATGGGAAGACCTAGACCACAAAAAGAGGCAGTGCCAGGCTTCCAGGAAAGGATTCGTTTTGCTCTGTGTCTGTGACATTCCTATGCCTTGGTGGAAGTGTTTTGGGGTCCAAGGGAATGCAGAACTGTGACCCACACAGTATTGTCCAAGGTAGACCACACTTGATTGGATTAAGCTATAGAACAATGTGAGCCTCAAGACATAGTTTAACACCAGGCAGCAATCAGCGAATGAGGAACAGAGTGTAACAGGTTAGTGTGGCTTGGAGGGAAGTGACAAAGAGAACTGACAGTGGGCATACCCTAAGTTGTATCTTCCTGTGGAATGACATCACAGGCTTAACACTGGGAAGACCAAGAGGGCACAGAATTCATCCGGATAAAACAGCCAATGACTAAACAATAAAGTAAATAATTACAAACCCCAGGGGTAGGAAACAATATTCACACTGACTGTAAAACACTATTCAAAAATGTCTAATTTCCAACAAAATATTACAAGCTATGAACAGAAACAGTTAAGTATAAAATAATTGAAAGAAAGCTTTTAACAGAAACTCCCTGTTTTCTGAGGCGGAATGTTTGAGCTCTCTGCAGACTTCTTCGTTGAAACCCTAATCATCAGTGTGAGGGGATCCAGGGATAGAGTCTGGGAGATGTCCACCCAGCTGGCTTAGTCTTTGGGAGATGTCATTATTTTCCAGGATAATGTGATTTTAGGGATGAGTATCACTTACGAAACTCATTAAAAACAATTCTGCAAAATTTCCCGTTTTTTTAAAACCTAATTGAATAGACTTAACTTGATTTTTCTTGGCCTAGAGATAGGTATGTGGCAAGGACAGAAACCTAATTTTTCTACTTGGAGCCGCGTATCAGTTGCATTTGAAATCAACAGTTAACAACTCATCACATTCAAGTTTTTGATAAATAATTTATTAAAGAATGTATTTATTTTATGTGTATGAGTGTTTTGAATATATTTTGTATGTGACCAAGTGCTTGCCAGGACCTATAAAAGTCAGAAAAGGGCACTGGATCCCCTGGAACTGGAGTTACAGCTGGTTATGAGCTGCCACACGGGAGCTCGGAACTGAACTCTTGTCTTCTGCAAGAGGATCACATTCTCTTAACTGCTGAACCATCTCTCTAGTCCCTAATGTATTATTTTTGGGGGGTTAGGGGCTGGAGAGATGGCTCAGTGTTTAAGACTGCTCTTGTAGAGGTTTGATTCCCAGCACCCACATGACGACTAATAACCATCTGTAACTCCAGTTCCAGGGAATCCAATTCCTTCTTATGACCTTCTTGGTCACTGTATGACATGGGTGCATTTATACAAATACAGGTAATACACTCATACACATAAAATAAAAATAATATAATATTTTTAAAAATTATTTTTGAGACAGGGTCTAATAGCATGGTTGACCTCCCTGTGTAGCCCAGTTGTCCTTGAACTGGAAATCTCAGCCTCCTGAGTTTTGAGATTATAGGAATGTGCTGCCATGTTGGCTTTTGCTTCATAAGATTTTTTTGCTGTTGTTATTGTTTATTTTTAAAAACAAGGTCTTATGTAGCCCAGGATGGCTTTGAAGTCCTTGTGTAGTTGAGGATGACCTTGAACGCCTTCCTGATCCTCCTTACTCTACCTCCCCAGTGCTGGGATTACAGGCCTGTGCCTCCCTGTGTGGCTTGGCTCAGTTGTTTTTGTCTGTCTCTCATGGTTACATCTATGGGTAAAAAGCAGAGTTATTCATGGCAGAATAATATAAAATTCAAGTGTGAGATATTGTGGCTTGTGTCTGTCTCTTTTACACACACACACACACACACACACACTTACACTTTTTAATTTTTATTTTATGTGTATGAGTGTGTTGCCTGCATGTATTTAAGTGTATCTGTGCAATGTCTGTGGAAGCCAGAACAGGGCGTCAGATCCCCTGGAACTGGAGTTACAGGCTGTTGTTAGCCACTATGTGGGTGCTGGGAAGTGAACCTGGCTCCTCTACAAGAGCAGCCAGTGCTCTTAACCACTGAGCCATCTCTCTAGCCTTTATCACACACATTTACACATCTCTGTGTGTATAGTACCATAATGTCACTGGATAGTATGCATGATTTATATATTTGTGTTGACTTACATGTTTGCCTTCTCTGTTGGAGAACATGTAAATCAAGTTGTGATGATTAGTGTTCATTGTCAACTTGACAGAACATAGAATCATCTAGGTGATGGGCCTCTGGGCATGTCTGTGGGGAGATTACCTTGACTGCGTTAATTGAGGTGGGAGGACCTGGCAACTAGGGTGGCACCATTCCCTGGCTGGGATCCTGGACTGTTTCCTTCACGTCTGCAGCATCATCCCTTAAATCGCTTTGGTCAGGATATTTTATCACAGCAACAGGAAAAGAAACTAAGGCACAAGGACCAAGTCCATCATTTTGTTCTGCTGAAGTCTTAGGCTCTGCAACTGATTGATTCACTATATAGAAAAAGGAAATGTGATGGAGAAGAGAAAGAAGGAAGATAAGGAGGAGGAGAAGGAGGAAAAGGAGGGGAGGAGGAAAAGGAGGAGGAGGAGCAGGAAGAGGAGGAGCAGGAGGAGGAGGAGGAGGAGCAGGAGGAGGAGGAGGAGGAGGCAGCTGAATGGCACCACTCAAACAGACTGAAAATAGCCTACCCAGCATTCCCTGCAGGCTGCCTGGCAGGTGAGAGGACCCTACAAACTGAGGGTGGGGCAGGGGCTGAGGGTTTCATTTTCTAAACACTTGCCTGCAGTCTGCAGGACTCTCCTGGCAGCCACCCAGTGCACTGCCCACACCACAGAGTGCACGGCCACGAGGAGGAGGAGGAGGAAGAGGAGGGAGGAGGAACAGGAGGAGGAGGAGCAGGAAGAGGAGGAGGAGGAGGAGCAGCAGGAGGAGGAGGAGGAACAGGAGGAGGAACAGGAGGAGGAGGAGCAGGAGGAGGCCCAGCAGTTAGTAGGGCAGGGTGATGGCAGTAATAAAATGATGCATTTTAGATGTGAGTATTCCATGAAATTCTACTCACATTTCTCATTTTTGTTTTACAAAAAATTATTGACATTAGTTAATGAAGCTCTGAATGTTCCAAATGTATGAAAACGTAGAATCTTCTTAAATAGTCATGGAATTTTATACGTTCTCGTCGGTCTTTGGGTGAACTTCTTTGGGATCCCCCTTTCTTCCCGTCTGTACCTTCCCTGATTCAAATTATGGTTCATTTCATGACATTTTCAACCCCTGTCGCCACAGGTGAATCAGTACATAGTGGCATACCGTCAGGAAACAGTGTAGAAACACTGCCGTCAGATTTGGTTTGGTGACCACCTGTTTAATAGGCTCAGTACACATCATCAAAAAGGAAATGATTAAGTCCACACTGAAACAAAACAGGCACAAAGGTAAAACAGAGGGTAGAAAACATACCTGAAACTGTTGTTCAAGAGATTTCAAAATTCCCGCACTATCATAAGTATAAACTCTGAAGTTAGGAGGTAAAAATGCTCTGTAAAAATAAAAATAAAATGCATTTAATGGAAAATTGTTTCCTGTGTGTTTGATTTTTAAAAGATCATTATTACATGTACTGTCTATAGGTAAGTTTGCAGCAAAAGATTTTTCAGTGTATTGATATTTTAGCTCTTTGTTGAATTTCCCCAAATAGCCAAATTCTTCACGAGCCACAAAAACAGTTGTTTTTTAAATTATTGTAGCCCCAATTGACCCAAATGCCTGCTGTGCAGACTGTGGACAGAAGGAAGCTACCTGGTCCTACTTTTTGACCATGAATAAGTAACGACCCTAAAGTAGCCTCCCCACAGATGTGATCTGAATTCCAAGCAGCCCCAGCATTGCTGAAATGCTGGAAAGAAGAAGTGTAAATGCCGAGTCAAAAGATCTAGATCAGAGGCATCGGAAAAATCACCCCCAAAGGGAGGCTTGCACATCCCAGAGAGGTCACAGGAGACAACAGTCACTCCCAGAGAAGCCTCCATGTCCCAAGGAGAGGTCAGGAAGAATCACTGGAGATAAGAGCCATGAAACAGAGCTTACAACAATGGCTCAAAACACTTGGAAAGGTCCAAAGCTTGAACGTTATGTAAAGAAGTAGCAACAGTGAACGATGGAATATAAGGATAAAGTTCTTGTGTTGAGAAGCAAAAAGTCAAGGGTAGAAGCCATAAGAGGTATTTACAGAGCACAAAGTCGCATATTTTACAGAAATTTTAAGCACGAAGAGTATGGTTATAAATTCATTGAAAAAATCTTGAAGACTAACTTTTAAGACATAGTAGAATAAACATTACAATGTGAGGAGATCACCCGGCATGGGTGTCGGCCTACTTCTGTATACACTGACGGTCTGTTCTAAATGGGCTAGCGACAGAGACAGCTGGTGAGGGCCTGGCAGGGCTTGGGATTGACTAATAATGCTGGTCACTGAAGGGTCCATTGTGCCACCAGCAAGGCCTGCAAGTTCATTGTGTAACCTTGGCTCTGCTGTACGCCCTGGGGTTCCCCTCTGTTGCATAGGAAATGCGAGAACCAGGCAAACTTTGCATTGTCTTTCGATTAGAGATTCGGCATTGGTCGCTAAAATGTGTGATTTATGACACTGTGCTCACTTTTACTTCATTGATATTTTACCACAATATTTTGAATTTTTGAGTCAAGAGTTATTTGACAACTACTGTTGAACTTCCAAAGAGCTGGTATGTCTTTGATTAAGCATTTGTAATTATGGTTTAATTTAATCATACTACTCTTTGAGGAGGTAGATACCATTCAAGATAATTTCTGTTCTAGTGTACAGAAATGACACTAATTTAATTTAAATTTAAATGCCTTTTGATCACATGTGTGGGAAAGGAAATACATCATCTGTAACCTGTGTAATATGTGGTCAATTACATATCAATCGTACTAAATCATATGGTATAGTCTTGTGGTGATTGAAATGGATCATCTCCTTACTGGATTGAGAAGTATGTAGGACATTAAGATGACACAGGCCTGGATGTGTCTATGAAGGGTTTTCCAGAGAAGACCAGCTAAGGGGAGAAGGCTTATCCTGAGTATGAGTGGGATGAAGGAGGAAGAGACACTGCTGGCATAGGCATTCCGTCTCTGTTTCCTTGCCACCGCCATGTGAGCTGTCTGCTACACCCTTCCTCCCATGATGAACGGAACCTCTGAAACTGTGAGCCGAAACATATTTTTTCTCTCTCCAGCCAAGTCCAACACAATTCCATGACTTTGTCCAACAAAGAGAGAGATTAAGAAGTCTGCCACGATTGCATTTTAATTCATTTCTTTTTATATTTTTGACCTACGACACTTGGCACATGTCAGTCTTCAGTAAAGAAGTATTGTGCTGTGGTGATGGTGGTAAGTGCAAGATGCTTTAGTCCCGATCACCCACTCCCTTTCCCACCTATCACCTGGCATTCTATGGCTGCAGTTACTTGGAGGATTTTGTATAGGTTTCCCTATGCTTTTTTTTTTTTTTTTTTACAAAAGCACAGTGATTATTTTTTTCTTCAGAAAGAAATTTGAAATTAACTTTATTGTCTTTTTTCAAACTAGGACCATCACCACCGTCATCATCATCGTCATCATCACCATCATCATCATTTTGAGACAGGGTCTCACGTAGGCCAAGACGGCCTCTAACTTTGTAACTGAGGATGACTTTAAACTTAGGATCCTCCCACCTCTACGTCCTGAGCGGTGACATTATAGGCCTATACCACCATGCACAGTTTGTGCAGTTGCTGGAGATCAAATCCAGGTGTCTGTGCATGCTAGGCAAATACTCTACTAACTGAGCTCCATTCCCAGTCCAATTCTATTCAAAGAAAGCCTTTTCCAAAATAAATGTGGAATAAGAGGATGCCAACTCCGAGTTCCTAGAACGAAACAGAAGCCTTTTGAGTTTGTGAGGAGCTTTGCTGAGTTTACTTGCAGATTCTGAACGTCGTGTTTCAGAGTCAATTCTTATCACTTAAACAAGGGTCATTTCAATTTGGGTTCTCTTTTTTGCTTGCTATGATGTATTTTTTTCTAAAATGTATTAGCTATGTTGAGATTGAGTTTGACATTACAATTATTATAATATATTACAATTATAGTCTGATCTATTACTACACTGGTGTAGGGCATGCCACAACCCTTCAAATACAAGTTGAATATATGGGAACTTGAAAGCAATCCATATTTGTGTTTTTAGAAAGATAGAAAATTATCAAAATCAATCCTCTTGAAGAGGGAGAGCCAATAGAGGGGGGAGGGGAAAGTCAGGTGCTACTGGGAAAGAAAAAATGGGACTGTGGATCATAGGCTCAAGTTCTAGGAATTTGTTATAGAGACTCCACAGTTTTTAAAAACACAGAATCAGAGAAACATGAAACATGGTTCAAAGAGTTGTGGTAATGCCCATAATCCTAGCACTAAGGAGACTGAGATAAGAGGACTGTGAGTTCTGGGCCAGCTTGGGCTACATAGAAAGACCCTGTCTCCAAAGAAAAAAATAAAAACATCAAGAGAAAAGTGAATAACCAATAACTAGAAAAATTTCAAAGACAAAAGAATTACATTTTAGATAATTACAAACAATAATTATAAATGGAATAGACAGTTGATAAAATAATGGCAGTCACCTACTTTTGCACTAGGTTCATGGTGTACGTTTTGTCTGTAATTGTGATCCTGTAGGATACCTGAAAGGAGAGTGCATTTAAAGACCATGGAAAAGGGAGGGACGTTAGAAAGGATAACTATTGTTTTACATTATTGATACAATCCCAAAACATATTAATACAATAAAAAGAGAAAATTTAGAATTTGATGTTGGCTTATTCCAATGGACTTTTATATTAATATGTTGATTTTTTTCAATATAAAAATAGTGGATAGGGGCCTGGAGAGATGGTTCAGTAGTTAAGAGCACTGGCTGCTTTTGCAGAAGACCCAGGTTCCCAGCACCCACACAGTGGCTAACAACTGTCCACAACTCCAGTTCCAAGGGAATCTGATGTCCTCTTCTGATCTCCTCAGACATTGCATAACACGAGTACACTTATATATATGTAAGCAATACACGCTTACACATAAAATAAAAAAATAAATATTTTTAAAAATAATGGCTAGAATAATCAGTTGCTGCAATTTATTATTTGTTAATCTATCCAATAAAATAGAATCTTCTGGACAATGGGTTACTTTTTAATAAATTTATTTATTTTTACTTTATATGTATGAATATTATGCCTGCATGAGTATAAATGCACACATGTTGTGCAGTGCCTGCCGAGACCAGAAGAGTGTGACAGATCCCTGGAAGTAGAGTTACGGATAGGTGTTAGCTGCCATGCAGGTGCTGGGAATCGAACCCTGGTCTTCTGCAAGAGTAGCCAGTGCTCTTAACCACTGAGCTATCTCTCCAGCCCCTGTATTATTTTTTATCCAATAACGTTATTGCCTTGATAAAGATTGAAATCATTATAAAACTCATGTTTAATGTAGAGAGAATATATCAAATTACTTAATAGAAAATGTCTATATAGTACAGGGGCGTGTTCATAGCACACAATGTATAATGTTATAGATTACATAAAATTTTCTCATAGTTTGAATGTGGTACCCATTGAAGATTAAGAAATGCTATCTAGAGCTGGGCATGGTAGTGCAGGCCTTTAGTCCCAGCACTTGAGAGGCGGAGGCAGGTGGAGCTCTGTGAGTTCAAGGCCAGCCTGGTCTACATAGTGAGCTCTAGGCCAGCTGGGGATACAGGGAGACTCTCTATCAAAAAAAAAAAAAGAAAGAAAGAAAGAAAGAAAGAAAGAAAGAAAGAAAGAAAGAAAGAAAGAAAGAAAGAAAGAACAAAAGCAAGGAAAGAAAGGCTGTCTGATGAGTGGGTCGCTCACTCTTGGCACGTTGGCAGAGACCTGGCATCTTTCATGCAATTAACAAACCCTCACTTACTGAAGTCTTTTCTCTCTTTGTTTTATTGGTCAGTAAGATTCTGCTTCTTTGAGAGATCTACTTGCAATTAGATGTTCTATGTAGCATAAGTTAAACCCTTTTAGCAATTATACCTTATACTTTTTGCTTTGCCAAAACTTAAATGCAACTGATGAGTTTTGAATATTCCCGTTTCAATCATGTTATAGAAATTTTGCTGTTGGCATATTAGTTTATATTAGTGGTAGACTTTCCACTGTGTTATGGATTTTGTTTCGTATAGAATTGTTTCATCTCCATATAATGCTAGCTTTATTTCTTTCTCTCTAATTATTATGCCCATTTATTGTATTTGTTGTTTTTTTCCCTTCTTGCATGGATTGGTAAGAACTTTCAGAACACTGATTAATAGAAAAATTAACAATGGGCATCCTTGGTTCCTTCTTGGTCTCATAAGGAATACTTTCCAATATTTCAACTTTATTTTTGGAAAGGCATTTTAACATCTCTGTAAGCCACTTTGATTTTAATTTTTAATTGCTGTATACTTTAGGCATACTAAATTTAAGGGCAGACATATAAGCTAGGTGGTGGTGGCACACACCTTTAAACCCAACCCTTGGGAGGTCTGGGAGCCTGGTCTACATAGCGAGTTCCAGGCCAGCAGGGGCTACAGGGAGACCCTGTCTCAAAAAACAAAAAACAAACAAATAAACAAAAACCCCACAGACATATACAATACCGTGTCACCACTGATTATACTAAAAAATAAACATCGCAAGTATTTGAAAGTAATGCTAAGCTAACTCTGAAGTTTAACGTCCCCTCTGACACCCCAGCTAACCAGGATGTATCTCATGTACAGACTTCTCATGTTTATTACACTGGTTAGGAATGTTTATTTAGACAGTGGTTTGTTTTGACTTCACATTAATCTTATTCTTCTACAAGTACATTTTCCATCTTGTGCTTCGGACACAATAAGCATGTTTGCGAAAATATGTCATCATTACTATTTATATTGCATCTTCTTTCTGGTGTGATAGTTCATTTTCTGAATATACCACAGTTGATTAGTCTATCCTATTTTTGGAAATTTGTTGCCATTTTTTACAATTATAATCAAGGCAGTAATAAACATGTACGCTACGTATGAGTAAGCATCCATCAGAAACTATGTGCTTTTGCAGTTTCACTTCTAATTTAAATACAATCTACAAATGACTGGGAATACAGTTCAGGGGTAGAGCACTTGTCTAGCACGCACTAGGCCATAGTTTCAATTCCTAGTACTACTGCAAAACCGAACCCCAAACAATAAGCAAAAAGAATAAAGAAAAAAGCCACTCATAAATGGGCTGTGCAAATGTGCGTATTCATAAGTAGAAAACAAGACTGCCTTGCTACGGTCTTTTTAAAAGATTTATTTTATTGTTTTTATCTTATGTGTATATCTCTTTGTTCTTTCTCATGAATGTACAATGTTTTCCAATAGCACTTTACTACGTTCTAAATAAATACTTACTAACCATGTTTTTCCAGGAGTGTGTACATAATTCTTTAGATGTGTGTGTGTGTACTTTGTCTTTTCTCTCTCTCTCTCTCTCTCTCTCGGCTTTTTGAGATTTTTTGCTACTTCACTTATAGCAAATCCAGGTCTTACAATGATCTGGTGACTCCCGTTTTGACGCTATCTTCTAAGTAGGATCCTTATCCTTGTTTATTTTCCAAATAAAAGAGACTCTCTTAAAATGCCACACAGATATTACCACTTTTCTGCTTTTATGATTAAGTTTTCTAAATAGATACACATTTCTTTTAAAAATAGGTATAAAAATTTCTAAGCTTAACTCTTTGGAACAAGTGGAGAATTGCTAAGGAAATTCCTGCATTAAAATCTGTATGATGCAACCAAAAAGAAAAAGTGGAACATTTCAAGCACATTAATTGCGTTTCCAGAAATGACTCTACCGCTTATTTAAAAAGACAAGAACCTTTTTAATCCAAAGAAAAGAAAGAACAATAATCCTAAGAGTAAGCAAAAAATAAAATAAAAGAACTATTCATCAGGGACTTATTTTCTAAGTGAAAAAATAGTCCTATAACACACCACAACATCAAATGGTCATCAACCCTCACCAAAATAGTCCTTCAAATATAGGCTGAGGGGTGTGTAGGAGGACCAGGTCAAGGAGTGATTTTCAGGGAAACAGACTTGGCGGTGAGACCTGGGGCTCTGACACCCAATGTCTACCACTGTTTCCACAACGCACTGTTAATCTTGGTTTATTTTCCGAATGACTTTTTCCAATTAAGAAAAACAGGGCATAGATATAAAATCTCGCAACTATACCTGGATGAAAAATATCAAGTTAACTTTTTGAGAGCAAAATATTCACGTGACTTTCAAGCTGTAAACAATGTTAGTGATTAATTACTTCTGATTCATATCCTCCGCTTGTATTCGACCGTATTTTCTCCGGAACTGTAACTTGCACCGGTAGTCTTTCAGAATCTGTAAGGGGTAAAACGTGTTCTTAGAGCCATTCCCCTCGCTGAAAAGCTTTCATCATCTGCTCCTCAAGAGTCCTCATCTGCAGTCTATGATGCGCCAGTAATATTGTCAAATACTAATATTGTGAAATATTGCTTTGGGAATGGTGCCCTGTGGGAAGGATCCGGAAACTGAGGCAAAGCTCAATCTCTTGGTACAAATAAACTCTTGTCTCCCCATCTCCCTCCACCTAGACTCCGGCGGTTGGGCGGTTGGGCATCGACCTGCAGCATCGTCCAATGTGCAGAGCAGGAACTGAAACTGCGAAAGTGTGGCATCCTGGGAGCCTGGGACCGCCCATCCCTCCTGGGGCCCTGGTGCAATGGGAAAGTCCCACTCATCCAGGGTGCATTTCGGTTGTGGGCAGCAGCAAAGCGCTGGCTTGGGCTTCTGCAGGTGGAATCCCCGCTGGAAGGCTCTTCCCTGGGATGCCTAGTGCAACCTGGAGGGAAAGGACAGCAGAGCCACTGCTCCCAAAATGTCTGGAGACTGGCCTTGACTTACCGCTCTCGGTCTGGAGGCTGCCAAGCCCTCTGAGCCCATTCAGCAGAAGCAGGATGCTCCACATGGCCTGGCGTCCTGGATCCCGGCCCTGGAATGGCCGTTGGGCGGCTTAGAGGGAGGTTGGGGGCGCGAGGTGAGACCTGTGGGTGGACACAGCTGCAGCCCAGGTGTGCGGAGAGGACTCCCTGCAGCTCTGCGAAAGCTGGAAGTCCGGCCTCTAGGCTAGAGGGAGGAGCCACTCATTTTGACATCTGAGACTAAAAAAGAGGAGAGAGAGAGAGAGGTGGACCGAGGCAGACTCACTTAGGAGTGACAGAGTCCATGCGGTAGCTGAGGACCGGGAAGATTCAAGTATTCTTAAGTGAACTCCTAATTCGTAATAACAATCATGTAAGTTACAATGTCTAACTCTACGGTACATATATATTGACAACGTCAATCAATAGTGTCTGTCATAGGTGCACAGTCTGACCACCATTCAACCGAACAAACCACTGTAATTACCACTGGGGTCAGCAACTGAAACAGATCCACCAAAGCCTCTGGCTTGTTTCCTGACAGCATCCAACAACCATAGACATTTAGTCTGTTTTGAACTCTCTGAGGAGACCATCACCACGTACTCCTTCACAGCTAGATTCCTGTGATACCGTGATTGTGCGGGTCCATCCACATCGATAGTGCTGCCTTTTTAAATTCTTCCTTTGCTGTATGTTACACACCTAATATATCACCATTTGTTTTTTCCACAAAAATAATATTTTCTATGAACGATCTCCTGTGTGTCTTTGGTTTAGTATGTAGCCGTACTAAAGTATATGTACTAAGTATATTTCTAGAGGAAAGTTGCTGGGTCACAGGGTATGTCTTGTAAATAACCCTAAAGAGCCCTTCAGGATTATGACACTCATTCATATTACACCAGAAATGTATGAAAATTCTAGATCCTCTCTAGTAATGCTTTCCTAGTGAGCTGTGTCAACTTGACACAGCCTAGAGTCACCTGAGAAGGGTGTCTCAGCTGAGGGATTTCCTACATCAGACTGGCCTGTGGGCATGTCTATGGGGGATTGTCTTGATTATTCATTGATGCAAGAGGGCCCAGCCCACTGAGGGCAGCACCATCCCTAGGCAGGTGGTCCTAGGCTGTTCAAGAAAGCTGGCCCAGCATGAGGGAGCCAGCAAGCAGGCAGGCTGGCTCTTCCATGGGCTCCTGCTTCAAGTTCCAAGTTGGGTTCCTGCTCTGACTTCCAATGATGGACTGTAACCTGTAAGCTGACATTAACCCTTTCTTCTCTTAAATTGCTTTTGGTCACAGTGTATCATAGCAACAGGATGAAATTAGAACAAATCCCTATACTTTCCCTATTTCATTTATTTTGATTTGAATTTGTGTTTTCTTTGTGGCTGATGAACTTTAGCACAATTTTATATACACATGGAAAATTTATATAGATAGCCTCTTTAGTAGTAATTACCTGCTTGAGACTTTGGCCCATTTTCTAATTGGGCTGTTTTGCTAATTTTTTTTTTTTATGTAGAACCTGGTAATACATTCTAAATATTAGTCCTTTGTCGACTGTAGTGACTGTAAAAGTCTTGTGTATATTTTCATCTTTAATAGCTTTCTGTAACACCTTTTGTCATATCCAGAAGTTTACTTTCATTTCAGTATGATGGGATTTTCATACAAATGTTATCATGGCTGTTTAATTTAACAAAATGCTTTTTCTGCACAAATATAACTTTCTTCATTTTCTGTTCACGTTCTGAGTTAAAATTACTGATGTTTTCATTTCTTTATCTTATTTTATTTTTCATTTTTAATTAAAGTTTTTATGATTTTTATATACAATATAGTGTGATGGCATTTAGATCCATACCCCTCTCTATACCTCCTTCCAGTGCCCCCGGCCCAATTTAATGAATTCTTTAAAAAATTTTTTCTTACTATTTTTTTTTTTTTGTCTTTTTGAGACAGGGTCTCCCTGTAGCCCCAGCTGTCCTGGAACTCACTATGTAGACCCGGCTGGCCTTGAACTCACAGAGATCTGCCTGCCTCTGCCTCCCGAGTGCTGGGATTAAAGGCGTGCGCCACCATGCCTGGCTTATTTTTTTTTTATTTTATGTGTATAAGTGTGTTGTCTACATGTGTGTAAGTGCACCCTTATCATGCAGTGCTCATGGAGGTCAGAAGAGGGTGTCAAATTCCCCTGGAACTGGAGTTACAGACAGTTGTTAGCCTCCATGTGGGTGCTGGGAATTGAACCTGGGTCCTCTGCAAGAGCAGCCGGTGCTCTTAACCACTGAGCCATCTCTCCAGCCCATATATAGTATGGCCTACAGAACATGGCTTGTGTCCCCTATTGTCCTTCAGTGTGGATCCATCTACTGGGCCCACCAACAGGTCCAACCCTGTAAGACACTGTCTTTTCCCCTCCCAGCAGCCTTCAATTGCCCAAAGTTCCTTAGGTTGGACTGAGATTTCTTATCCACTTCCCCATGTCTATGCTGGGATTTTGTCTGGTTTCAGCTTGCATAGAACTTGTTCATGCTGTCACCACTGCTGTGAGTTCATGAGTAAATGACCAGCTGTCTGGAAAACTCTGTTTCCTCGTGGTCATCCACCACCTCTGGCTCTTAAAAGCTTTTCACTGCCTCTTCCGAAATGATCCCTGAAACTTGAGAGGCAGAAGTTTGAAATAAGTGTCCTGTTTAGGGATAAGAACTCTATGGCCTCTCTTTTTTGCACATTGCTAATTGTGGGTAAAATTATTGATTTTTGGATGTCAAAAAAACTTGTATCCCCAGCATACATCCTATTTGTTATGTTTAATCCTTTTTTTTTATTTTTCTGGATTGATTTACTTGCATTTTGTTTAGGATTTTTTGTATCCAAATTAATGAGATCCTTGTCTGTAATTTTCTTTTATTGTAATGAATTTGCCAATTTTTGTATCAGAATCACTCTGGCCCCGTAAAAGAATCTGCAAATGTAATTTCATCCTGTGACCTTTGCAAAAGTTAATGTAATGTTATGACTATTTTTTCTTTATTATTTCCTAGCATTTATGAATAGAAGGCTTAGGAGACTAAACTCTTCCTTGTCAGAGGATTTTCACTTATGGATATAATTTCTTTAAAATATTTAGATATTCTCGTTCTCCTTGTGTGAGTGTGAGAAAGTTGTATTTCTGAAAGATTTTCATCCACTTCTGAGTTGCTAAGTACATTGGCAAAAGTTGTTCACCATGCCCCTCTCCTGTGCCCTTTTCAAACCCGTGGAATCTATTAGAGATGTCTTCTTTTCAGTCTTCATATTGATAGCTTGTGATTTTTCTCTTTACTCATGGTCCGTAGTTACTGAATTTTATTATTTTATTAACTTTCCAAAGAACTCAACTTTTACTTTCATTTGCTAATATTTTTCCCTCTATGTTGTTGATTCTATACTTGTTTTCATTTCCTTCTTTTAGTCTTTTAGCTCTTTTAGTCTTTAGTCTTTTAGATCTAATGCTCTCTTTTCTCCATTGTCTACAAATGGAAGTTTATACTATTACTCCCATGTCGCTTTAAATTAGAAATATTCATGTAGTGACTGCTTTAGCTTTTTCATAAATTATCACACCTTGTATTTTGTATATTTTAGTTTGAAATACTTTGTCTTCATAAATATTGAGTTCAAACTGTTTTCTAATTTTTGTCATGATTTCTTTTCCGTGCCACATATTTGACCTATATATTGACCTCTCGTGAGACAAATCGCACTTGATCCTGGTGTCTGAATGTTTCAATGTGCTGTTGGATTTGTTTTGCTAATAGTGTATTTTTATATCTGTGTTCATTAGGACTATTAGTCTGTAGTTTCTGCTGAGTTCTTGTTTGTTTATGGTATCAGAATGGTTAATGCTTGTCTTATTGAATCTGGAGAATTCTCTCAAAGTCAGTTTTTTTAGTAGTTTAATGACGTGTTAGTTCTTTAAAAATCTGCTAGAATTCAGCAGTGAAACCCTTTGGTCCTGGGTTTTTCTCCCAGGGAGACTTTTTACTATTGATTTAAATTCATCACTTGTTCAGGTTTTCTGTTTCATTGTGGCTTTGTCTGGGTTGGCTCTGCACAGCTAGCAGTTCATCCAGGTCCCATACGTGAATCAGCTTCTTGGTTGTGGTTGTTTGTAACAGTTCCTCCTGATCGCCTGTATTTTCGTGTTTGTCAGGTATTATGTCTTCTTTTTTGTTTATGTTCATGTGAATGTTCTTTCATTTTTCTCTTTATTTAGCTAAGGGTTTGTCAATTTTACATTTCACTAAAACCCAACTCTTTGTTATCAGTTATGTTTTCTTTAAAAAAAAGTCTCAATTTCATTTATTTCTGTTTTGTTATTTATTACGGCATTCATTTCAAATTTAATTTAGTTTAGTTTTCCTAGTTCATCCCGTTGATTGTTTGAGCTCTTCTCCCTTTTCTGATACGGATGCTCGAACCTTCTAACCGCGCTAAACTTCCTCTACTGCTTTTGCAAGTTCCTGTAAATCTTCCCTTCCCTCATTTCTGTTCTTCTTTACTTCAAGATATTTCAGAACTTCTCAATTAATTTCTTCGCTTATCCATTGATGATTTGGGAACCTGCTAATTGACTTTCACTTATTTATACAATTTCCATGTTATTCTTGGTGTTAGTATCTAATTTTATTTCACTGTGATCAAAGGAGAGATATAAAGTTGACTTTTAAAAAACAGTTGAGATTTGTCTTATGGCCTAACGTGTAATCTTCTTAGAGAATGTCGGATGTTCTGATGAGAAGAATGTGACCCCTTCACCTGCTGGATGACTCTTTTCTGAACATCTACTAGGTCCATTTGGACCCAGTAGTCCTAACATGTAGCCACTGGGCAGCATACATCCCATAATAACTAAAAATGCAGCCCAACACAAAATGATAAACTTATTTGAAACATTATGAGATTGTTTTTGTATTTTTTTTTCTAACTTGAGTGCATGGTTCTTGAACTTTGCAGATGACAACCTCTGTAACATTGTGTTCAAAGGTTAGACACGCCTG